CACACACACACACACACAAGAGATCAATATCAGCAGAAAATATGTCTGATAAAATGTTCAATAATTTCAATGAACTTTCATCCAGAACTGCACAGCATTCTGGGAGACGTAGGAAGCGGAAATTCTTTAGCCGCTCAACCCAAGTAACTCGCTGCCTCCCTCTTTGGTTACCCAGTGACAATCTGTTGAGTTCCTGTGCAGCAGCAGTTTAAGTGTTCTAAAGTACACAGAGGTCTTCTTCTGTCTGCGCTCCATCTGTTCCTGTTCTGTTCCTCTGAAGGTTGAGGACAGACTGGAGTAACACAGTGTTTCTGTTTCCCAGGCAGCAAGGAAGAACATGTCTGAGCAGAGCAATGTGACTGGAGGACGTCTGACACCGAAACAAGCCACCACTCTGCTGAAGAGATTTCCTAACCTGCGATCTGAGATCTAACAGATATGTCAAGAGTTCTATGTTTGGATTCTATTATGTGTTGCCTGTATTTTCCCTCTGTAATGATGATTTATATGTACATTTGTTCAATAAATTGTTTAGTTTACACAACTATCTCTCCTTCAGTTTTAGTCTCATAGTTCTAACAGCTGGCTATATGGTAAAGCTCAGGAAACTGGACCTGAACACAGTGACAGCTTCAGAAGGAGTTCTGTGGATGTCTACCATCCACAGAACTTTCCTTAAATTCTAATGTTGACCATCAAGAGAAACTGAATTTAATATTGGATAAAGGTTTGGGAACAAGGGACAAAGCAGGCTTAACACACTTAAGAGTGAAAGACAAAAATAAAGAAAGCCAACCATGTAAAACTGATGCATTAGTTAAAGGAGATATTTGATATATCGGTTCAAACTTTGCACAGCCAGCTGCGGGTGTTTCAAGATGTGGGTGTCAGACTGGGCGCTCCTACAGCTCTTCTGGGTGAACAGTGGACAGGCAGAAGTCGCATGACACGTCTGGTTCTTGCAATAATTAACTTGAGAGCGAATGAAATACCGCACAATGTTTTATTACAAAAATCATGAACATGTTTGTGTTTCTGCTTCAGGTACCAAAGCACAGTCAGACACCGTAATTCATTCTGATTGCTCTCACTGCCAAAGATATCAAAGACCACACATTTCTACAGAAAAACTGGCAGGCAGAGTGGGTGACAGACTCCAATCAGTATGCAAAAACCCACGTTAAAGCTAAAATTAGCTAAAATGCTAATGTTAGCTTAAATTACATCATTATCACATTGGTTGCTGCACCCCTTTCTGATATTTCTATCCATCATTAAAGACCCTGAGGGTGATGAATAAGTGGATGGATGGAGGGATGAACAGATAAAATGAAGAATAAAGTCACAGTAGTGGGAGAACAATAACAGTGAACATGTGTTAGCTATGTTAATGTTTTAATGCTTCAGGATAATAAAAGTACTGAGGGACGACCCGAAACAGAAGCAGAAAATGTTTCCTTGAGGCCCTGGAGGAACTACTCTTCAAACAGAGGAGGAGGAGCGAGCTTCAGGTGGAAACTCTCTGGCTGGACTGGAAGCAGGAAGCCTGTTTTCTCACTGCTTTGGCCGTGTGAAACCTCAGAGAGGATGGACAGCTGGAGGACAGAGAACACACCTGATCAATCAGACATGGAGAAACAGGATGGTTACACACATGTCGTCATCTAACAGGGAGGAGTATTCCAGGTAAAGACAGCTTGTGACTATTTCACTTATAGCATGGAAAATTGTCTTGCTATAAGTGAAATAATCTGAGTGGAACTACAACTTTTTCATCAGTATTAAGAAATTATACTTAAAGCAAACTATTTATTGCTGAAAAGTTAACTGGGTAACATAGGATGACATGACATAACATCAGTCATGAACATGAAGGAGTCCTCATGAATATTTATGGCTGTTGTCATGACGTGTCAGTCAGTAAATAATGACACTTTTAATGCAAAGTTGCACTAAAAGTTGCCTTGAAAGTATACACTTTGCATTATTTGATTTGACTCAACACAAAGTTCAACTAAAACTTGCATTAAAAGTCAAGTTTTAATGCAGAGTCAACTTTGCATTAAAAATGTAATTATTTACCAAATGACACTTCATGACAACAGTCAAATATTCTTGAGGATTCCTTCATGTTCATCACTGTTATGACATGTTTATGACAGTGTCATGTCAGTCTTATGAACACCCCGTTAAATAAAGTGTTACCGTTGTTGTTGTTGTAAGTTAGTTTTGCCTTATTTCAAAAATGTAACACAGTGATCTTCCTTTCCTGGTTTCCTTCTATAAAACCTTCTTATTATTATTCTGAATTTCTATTTCCCTTTTGAACGCATACTTTTCTATGTTTCTCAATGGGATTTTGACAACAGATCAGATCTGTTGTCATGACAACTAGCAGTTTTGGTACATTAATGAAGCTACAGCAGCATTACATATAACAGTGTTCATGTATTTGTGGAACTGCATTCCCATTACAAATACGCACCAAAGTTTAATATTCCGCTAATGTAAAAAAAACAAAACACGATTTTGCAATGGTGGTGATTCCATTAAATAACATTTTAAATGACATGTGAATAACCACAAGTTATTAAAAAACATGCCACAGCTGAAAACCCCGCAAAAACATATAAAAAAAGATGAGTTTTTTGAAACTGCTGTGTTTCCATTAAACAAATTTATTTCTGTAACTCCAATTTGTAAGACGGTAAATGGAAACACAGCGGTTATTGCATCAGTGAAACAGAGACAGCAGTGGTTCTGTACCCTGGACGGTCCTCTGTACAACCCTCGCAAGTGATCCCAGGAGAGTTCCTGCTGCACATCCAATGTTGCCACAGCAACCACCTGCAACACAGCGAATAATCGCACATTGGGCTGTTATTATTATACACTAGTTTCACACTGAAACCAGAATAACTCATGGATTTGTTCCTGCCATGTTAAATCACTGTTGGTACTCAGATGCTTTACTTGTTAGAGATAAATCAACAAAAGCAGAACACTAGAATAGATAAAACATTATTATTCCTTCCAAGACTTTATACCAGTGACTTTATACCATTCTGTAATAAGTTACAGAATGACTGAGCTACACTCAGAGGCTGAAGGTTTGACAGGAAAGTGGTCGGTGTCTTGTGCAGACAGAAAATGGTCCAGCTTACCTTCTTCCTGTGAGTCTCAGCTCCTTTCTCATGATGTCCTGATGAAAACCGAGTCTGGAGCCCAGAGAACACACACACAAACACATACACGCACACGCACGCACACGCACGCGCACACACACACACACACACACACACACACACACACACACACACACACACACACACGATGATAATATTAACCTGTCCTGCTCTAGTTTAGCCTGAAACCAGAAAACCCCAATAGCTCTGGAAGTTAATGCCAACTGATGCTGCATATTTACTGTTATTCACTGTATTCACTGTTATATTTAATGACAGTGAACATTTTAACGGACAGATGAGACAATATTTTAGTAAACTGCAAACAATTGCAGTTATGAACTTTCCTCATGATTAGCACAAACTCACTGACCTGGGCGAGAGATGCGCTGCGGCTTCTGTTTGGCTCAGTACAAGCCCCGCCCCTTCCTCCATGGCTGGAGGAACATTTGTAGCACCTCCATGGCTGCTGCGGCTCCGAGGCCACGCCCCACCCACAATCCTTCTGCTGCAGGCACTGCAGGTGGTATAGGTGGCCACAGCTGTAAAACACGCAGAGGTCAGAGGTCAGAGGGAACCTTGTAAAGTATCATCCAGAGAGAGGTACATAACGCCCAATTATGTAATAATACCGCAACATGTAATAATGTAATAATAATGTTTGTGTGTGTAAGGTGGAAAACAGACCTTCATTAACCATTAAGACCACAAAAAACAAAAACCTGTCAGATGGCTTTACTATCCATGAAATAATTCAAAAACAGTCCTGACAGTTTGGATGCATTTGTTTTTTTCTTTCCTTCTCACAAAAAGTTTCAGTTTGTGTCTTAGAGAAGAGAAGGAAAGCCCATGTTTGACTTGTTTTGCCTTTGCGTTTTCCATGTAAGTTTGCAGTGTGTTTGTGTCCTAAAGAAAAAAACATAACCTTCAGAAGTATGTCAGAAACAAGATACTAGCATACAAAATTTTATAAAAACCTTACACTGTAGCAAGAAAGACTTTCAGTATTCAAAACGCCGCATGAACTGACTAATACAGTATTGCAAGATAATCCAAAAGAAATACAAAAATTCCCCCATGTTCCTTAGGGGCCTCCGTAGTTTCCAGTGTGGAAGCAGCAGAAATAATCAAGTGGTTTTCACTTTGCAGTGACGGGCCGTGTTACCTGAACACAATGATCTCCTCAGAAGTGTCCTGCTTCCTCTTGTAGTGCTGCAGGCAGATGTTGCAGCAGTCCTGACGTGGATGGAGCCCTCTGGTGACGGCGGAGCGGAGGTGTGCCAGGGACCAGTGGAGGTCGTAGTTCAGCAGATTTGTTGTTGTTTCAAGCAGAGTCTGAGAGACAGGCACATTTTTTTACTGCTTCTTTCGCCAAAATATGTCTACTGAATGCTACGCTTTTAATTTTTTTTGTCCCAAAAATGTTTCAGATTATCAAGCTAATTTAATATTGGATAAAAATAACCTGAGTAAATACAGAAGGCAACTTTTAAATTATGATCACTGTAGATGGTTTATACAAACCAGTTGAAACTAGATATTTACATACACTGAATAAAAAGACATACATATTTTTTCTCAATGTCATAAGTTAAATCAGACGCAAAACAACTTTTCTTGTTTTAGGTCAGTTTGAATTACCCAAATTATGTCGATTTACTAAACGCTAGAAAACTTGTTGAGAACCATTTTTTAGACATTTTTTTCAGAACTTTCCTCGAATTCAAAAGTTTACACACATTTGTTATAAGTAAACTTTACCAAATGTATGGTTTGCATTTAGCAGAAGTTTGCTCTGATTTAACTGCAGACGACAATAAAACAAAATGTGTATGTCCAAAGTTTCCCCCAGAAAACTTGCCAAGCCTGGAGGTTTGGTGCTAGGGCAGACATTCATCCAGCAGCCCGCTGTGTTTTTGAGTTAAAAAATGCTTAAAGTTGACAATATTAAAAATATCACTTGATAATCATGTGCTATTGAAAGATTGGAAGATTAATACCTGAACACCAACTACAAAGTCTAAAAAAATGCCAACACTTTAAAAATACTCAATTAATTAAGCTATGCTTAGCCTGGTGGCCTGCCAGGCTAATAATACACTGGGGGAAACTGGTGTCTTTCATAAAAAGACACACAAAGTACCCGGATTCAGTTGTAGTCTACATGTCCCGGAATGAAGACATGTGGACAAAGGGTTACCTGTTCATAGGTGAACGTGTCCAGCATGCCCAGAATGAGTCCCTGGATCTCCGCCAGCTTTCCTCTTCCATAAACTGGATCCTGATTAAAACCATCCAGCAGCAAAAGTTTAAATATTTAACATATCAACTGGAATTCTTGATAAAAATGATCGGATGCTCCACTAAATGTTGCATACATAAGTAATGTCGGCTTGACTTAAAAGGAAGTAAGCCAACGGTGCTTATAAAAAGTATTCATCCCCTTGGATGTTTTATGCTTTTTATTGATTTTTACAAATCAATTCATTTTAAAAAATACATTAAAGAACTTTAATGTCAAAGTGAAAACTGATTTCTGCAGTAGCTGAGATGGAGAGACTCCACATACAACAACTGTTGGTCTGGTTCTTCACCAGTCAAAGCTTTATGGGAGCGGTGACAAGAAAAGCACTGCTGAAGAAAACTCAGATCAAGGCTGGACTGGAGTTGGCCAAAGGGCAAGTGGGCAGAGACTCCATGGTGAAGTGGAAGAAAGAAGAAACATTTATTATCCAGCTAGACGACCACTCAAAGCTTCCAGCTGAATCTACAAGAGATGACCTGAAGACACAAAGGGGGAGGACCAAGAGTGGCCCAGTCAAAGCCCAGATCTGTTCACAGCCAATCTCCAGCAACCTGACATAATTGGAACAGATTAGCAGGAAGAGTGGAGGAAAACTACAGCTGACCCTGGCTGAACCAGCTGTGTTTCCTCTGACCTTAAACTTTGCCAAATTGGAATAACAAAAATAATTTCCCTTAAAGGAAACATGTCAATTTTGAACAAACTCACGATTTTGATAAAACGTTTTTGCACAAGGATGAGGTGGTTTAAAATTAGCCGTATTACAATTGGTGTTTTCTGCAAAACTGCAATGGAGACCCAGACTCCCTGCTGGGATGGCAAATACTCAATACTGCCTGGAAAGGGGGTGAATAATTATGCAATCAGTTATTTTACATTTAATGTTTCCATTTAATTATCATTATCGTGAATAAATCAGTTATTACTTTGACGTTAAAGGTTTTTTTGTTCATTTTCTTTGTCATAAAGTCAAAATGTTTACCATGATTGATTAATAAAAGCAATAAAAATGGTAAAACATCCGAGGGTATGAATACTTTCAATAAGCACCAACTGTAAGTGAATGATCTTTTGCTGGTGAAGCCTACCGTTTCCCTGGTTACAACAACATCTAATGTTAGCATGTCGAGAGCCGACCGACACAATTTCTTTTGTCTTTACTGACTGTTCAAATACATTGTTTCATTCGTTAATCTATCATCACTGACAAATGACAGATACTCACCTGTAGGATATGCTGAATGATGGCAGGAAGTGAGATAAAGCTGCTCATACAGTTGAGAACCTTCAGGGTCATCTCCTTCAGCCCTGGGACGATCACAGACATGTTAACGCCAATAAACTAATCACAACAAGCCTTGCTCCTCAAACAACAGAAACATATCATCTCATGTTCATGTTCTTCTCTTCCACTAGTCTGTCTATACTATCTCCAGTCATGTCAGAACATATAGCTGTAGCTGACCTGAAGGCTGAGAGTCGTAAAAGGGGCTTAACCTGTCTGTCACGAGAGGACCCAAATTTGGGTCCTCTCGTGACAGGGGTGTCAAACTCCAGTCCTCAAGGGCCTCTGTCCTGCAACTTTTAGATGTGCCTCTGCTGCACCACACCTGAAAATAATAATTAGGTCACTAGCAAGGCTCAGGAGAACCGATCTACATAGGGAGGAGGTAATTAAGCCATTTCATTCCACTGTTTTTTACCTGTGGCACATCTAAACACTGCAGGACAGCGGCCCTTGAGGACTGGAGTTTGACACCCCTGTCATTGTGAATGACAACCTGAGACCAACAGGTTAAGACCATTTAACATAGCCTGAACAGAAACATGGTGGCCATCTGCTGAGCAAATTCAAATTCACCTCAACAAAACTTCATTAATCCCAGTGGAAAATTAAATAAAAAGTCATCGATGAAACTCAGAACGGGAATTATTTCTTTCTTCTTTTTTCTTTTTTTTAGCAATCACAAGATAAACTAACAAGAAGACAAGGAGCCTGAAACAGAGCCTTGATGCATTACATCCAGAATAGGGTGGTTGACAGCTGCTTTCTTTTACTTTGGGAGCTTATATTTGTAATATTCTGCAATAATGTTTTTTTATTTTTTTATTTTCTCTAATCGTCATTTTTAAAAGACATCCTGTTTTTCTTTAGACAATCATACAAATATCTTTTTAGAGTAGAGCTGGTGCAAACATTGGAATATGAAGAGCATTTAGTGTAACATCAAATTCTGCCATTTCCTGTTGAATCATTTAACAATACTGACAAATCCACCTGCTTCACGAGTGCTCTGAAATATTAGCTGAATTATTAAGCAAGTAGTTTGTGTTGCTGTCCAATCATTCAGTATGCTGAAGTGAGTGAATCTTCATCAGTGCAGACAGAACATCTGATTAGTGTAGCAGGAGTTTAAGCAATGTTACTATTGGGTCCAGGGATCAAGTTCTGCCTTCTACAGGGTCAGATCGGTGAAAACTCAATGCTGGAGCATTTTTACTTATTTTCCACATAATGTTTGTGCAACTTCGAGCAAAAAACTTCAAATGATTGGTGCAGGTGTGCATGTTCACCATTCGAGATATGTTTATCGCTGAGCCCCATGACTTCCTTCTGAGAGGCCATCATGGTGTCCAGGAGTGGAAACCACAGATCCTGTCAAGAAAGAGAACCGTCAGCTGTAGAAGTGTAGCTCCCTCAGTTCCCCGCTGCAAACACTTTGGTCACCTTCCTTTGTTCTTGATCAAGGTTCTGACAGTTTCGATGACAGAAGAGAATCATTTGGTTGAGTGAACTCTTCACTGTCGTCAGTGTGAATTCACCATCCGCCTCCTCTTCGTCCTGTCCGTCAACTCCTCCTCCAATGCCGCCACTCATCTCTGCAGCGAGGACATCCAGTCTTTCCTTCAGGGTCTTCAGAAGGAAATGCAAACATTCAGTCAAAACAGCGGCTAGCTAACACACCAAAAAGCAGACTACTGAGAGAGGACGCCTAGTTTAATCAAAACCTCCCACCTAAAGCAGCTACTTTCAGGAAAGTGTGAAAAGTGAATTCATGAGTACAATTATATGATCTGTACCTGCAGCAATCCAGCAAATGCTCCAGGAATATCTCCCTTCTTCTCCAGCAGATAAGCCTTGGCTTCATTACAGTGGTACTTCTCCGTTATCTGGAGACAGAGTCATGAACTGTAAAGGATGATCACATCCCTTCCTGCTTGATGAACAGATAGAGGCAGTATGAGATGGAAGGGAAGCATTTCTTTTTACAGAGAGACAACTGTGAAGTCCAGACTGATGGTTGGTCTAGCTCCCCCTGCTGGATGATTGATAACATTCATTAGATACAACAGCATCCGGGACAGTCTATCAACCGGCCACATTTAGAGCCTCTTCACATGAAGTCCTGCTCTCCTTGCCATGACAACGGGAACGTGAAAGTTGAAGCTCTGTCTTATTGAACATTCTGCCAGGCATTGCCACCAGACCCTTTGGGCCTGCCAGGTCTGACCGCTATCCTCCCTCACCATCGGAGCCAACTCACAGCTAGGTAATAGTAAGTGGACACCTCTGCCCTTCTCTTCACCCAAGTGTCCAAGACATGCAGCCGCAGATCAGATGAGACGATCATCGAGCTGGGGCCTAACGTGTCCTGGTGCAAAGAGCACATATGGACACCCTTAAGCTTGAACATGGTGTTTGCTATGGACAATAGCAACAGTCAGAACCCTTTCAACGCTAGAACCAGATGAACCCCGAGATAGAGGGCAACGAATATACCCAACTCCAGAGTGACAGCGTGTCCAACCCTTTGCAAGAAGACTGGTTCCAGAACCAGGGCTGTGTGTTGAGGTGAGTCCGGCTATTTCTAGCTGGAACCTCTCAATCTCACACACCAGCTCAGGGTCCTTCCCTGCCAGGGAGGGGAATTTCCATATCCTGGGATATAGCTGAGGATCAGACTACCAAGGGCCCCACCTTCAATAACCCCCATCACACATTGTACCCGACCCGCTCAGGTGGTGAGCCCATAGAAAGAGGGACACAAGTTTCCTCTCTGGGTTGAGCCCAGTCAGTCCTTTAGGTATAAAAGACCTCTATAACCTACCCCACCTCAAGGTCTGACTCTAGAGGGGGGGCTGGTGGCCCTTGTCCAGGTGAGGAGATCCTGTATCTAATGTTACATCTCATCATAAGGGATTTTTAGACTGTTTTTTTAAAACCATTTATTAAGAATTTTGTAAATTCCAACAACATTGTAGAGGCGTAAAAACAGTACCTGTATGGCCTCCTCAAGCCTGTAATGCTGGGAGGTGTGGAGAAACTTCAGAAGCTCCTGTGGTTCAAAGCGGCACATCAGGTCCAGCAGAAGCTCATAAAGTTCAGACTCCAGAGGCAGCCGGGACACGGACTGAGATCCTTCTCTGAGAGAGACAGTGACAAGGACAAAGAGTCCAAGATCAGGAAGGACAACAGGACGTCTGTAGTTATCAAACACAAGGGGAAGGAAGTAAACCGTACTGAGACTCCAGGAGGCAGCGGAGGAACTGGAAAAGTAGACTGTCGTCCTGCAGAGACACGCACAGAGAAGCCTTCTGAAATAAACCACTTTACTATGTACAACTGCTTAATTGCTTGTTAACCCTAATAATGACTAAGCCATGATTGCAACTAAACGCCTGTAGGCCTCTAGAAGAAGTGAAGACGACTTTCTGAAGTTCAAACTGAGTGTCAGAATAAAGCAGGTGATTGAAGTGAGTTTGAATGCAGCATGGTTGTTGGTAGCAGACTGGTCAGTCTGAGTGTTTCAGATAATGTTGATCTGCTGGGTTTTCACACAGAACCATTTCTCATATTTACAGAAGGTGGTCTAAAATAGTGAACATCCAGTGAGCTGCAGGTGGAAGAGCAAAGACAGCTGTGTGACGTCAGAGGAGGACACACTTTGAGGTAACAGGAAGAAAACAAAAACTCCAAGAACTGCTGGTTACAACCAAGATCTGAACAACACCATCTCTGACTGGTGTCACTGTAACTAGCTATACTTACGAGGTTACATTTACTTAAATAACTTTTTAAAGAAAAAATACTTTTAGAAGTTTTTTTTTTTTTTTTTTTTACTATGCAGTACTTTTTACTTTTACTTGAGTAATATTTTTTTTATAAAGTATCACTCCTCTAACCACTCTGAGTAAACTTCACAGGATGAAGAACAAACATGTTTTAACCAAAAATTCACCAGGGGCAAACACATGCAGTTTCATAAGTTTTATATTGAAATAAACTGATTTGGTTTTTTTTCCTCCTTTTGTTCAACTTTGTAATTATGTTATTTACATTAATTATTTTTATTTTGATCTTTAAAATACCAAAATTTCCACCTTTTTTCATATCTTGGTCCGTTTGTTGATGTAATTCTTAAATATTAAATGCTTGATGTTCTGATCAGTGACTCAGCACTTGAATCACTCAGAATCACNGAGAGCCGACCGACACAATTTCTTTTGTCTTTACTGACTGTTCAAATACATTGTTTCATTCGTTAATCTATCATCACTGACAAATGACAGATACTCACCTGTAGGATATGCTGAATGATGGCAGGAAGTGAGATAAAGCTGCTCATACAGTTGAGAACCTTCAGGGTCATCTCCTTCAGCCCTGGGACGATCACAGACATGTTAACGCCAATAAACTAATCACAACAAGCCTTGCTCCTCAAACAACAGAAACATATCATCTCATGTTCATGTTCTTCTCTTCCACTAGTCTGTCTATACTATCTCCAGTCATGTCAGAACATATAGCTGTAGCTGACCTGAAGGCTGAGAGTCGTAAAAGGGGCTTAACCTGTCTGTCACGAGAGGACCCAAATTTGGGTCCTCTCGTGACAGGGGTGTCAAACTCCAGTCCTCAAGGGCCTCTGTCCTGCAACTTTTAGATGTGCCTCTGCTGCACCACACCTGAAAATAATAATTAGGTCACTAGCAAGGCTCAGGAGAACCGATCTACACAGGGAGGAGGTAATTAAGCCATTTCATTCCACTGTTTTTTACCTGTGGCACATCTAAACACTGCAGGACAGCGGCCCTTGAGGACTGGAGTTTGACACCCCTGTCATTGTGAATGACAACCTGAGACCAACAGGTTAAGACCATTTAACATAGCCTGAACAGAAACATGGTGGCCATCTGCTGAGCAAATTCAAATTCACCTCAACAAAACTTCATTAATCCCAGTGGAAAATTAAATAAAAAGTCATCGATGAAACTCAGAACGGGAATTATTTCTTTCTTCTTTTTTCTTTTTTTTAGCAATCACAAGATAAACTAACAAGAAGACAAGGAGCCTGAAACAGAGCCTTGATGCATTACATCCAGAATAGGGTGGTTGACAGCTGCTTTCTTTTACTTTGGGAGCTTATATTTGTAATATTCTGCAATAATGTTTTTTTATTTTTTTATTTTCTCTAATCGTCATTTTTAAAAGACATCCTGTTTTTCTTTAGACAATCATACAAATATCTTTTTAGAGTAGAGCTGGTGCAAACATTGGAATATGAAGAGCATTTAGTGTAACATCAAATTCTGCCATTTCCTGTTGAATCATTTAACAATACTGACAAATCCACCTGCTTCACGAGTGCTCTGAAATATTAGCTGAATTATTAAGCAAGTAGTTTGTGTTGCTGTCCAATCATTCAGTATGCTGAAGTGAGTGAATCTTCATCAGTGCAGACAGAACATCTGATTAGTGTAGCAGGAGTTTAAGCAATGTTACTATTGGGTCCAGGGATCAAGTTCTGCCTTCTACAGGGTCAGATCGGTGAAAACTCAATGCTGGAGCATTTTTACTTATTTTCCACATAATGTTTGTGCAACTTCGAGCAAAAAACTTCAAATGATTGGTGCAGGTGTGCATGTTCACCATTCGAGATATGTTTATCGCTGAGCCCCATGACTTCCTTCTGAGAGGCCATCATGGTGTCCAGGAGTGGAAACCACAGATCCTGTCAAGAAAGAGAACCGTCAGCTGTAGAAGTGTAGCTCCCTCAGTTCCCCGCTGCAAACACTTTGGTCACCTTCCTTTGTTCTTGATCAAGGTTCTGACAGTTTCGATGACAGAAGAGAATCATTTGGTTGAGTGAACTCTTCACTGTCGTCAGTGTGAATTCACCATCCGCCTCCTCTTCGTCCTGTCCGTCAACTCCTCCTCCAATGCCGCCACTCATCTCTGCAGCGAGGACATCCAGTCTTTCCTTCAGGGTCTTCAGAAGGAAATGCAAACATTCAGTCAAAACAGCGGCTAGCTAACACACCAAAAAGCAGACTACTGAGAGAGGACGCCTAGTTTAATCAAAACCTCCCACCTAAAGCAGCTACTTTCAGGAAAGTGTGAAAAGTGAATTCATGAGTACAATTATATGATCTGTACCTGCAGCAATCCAGCAAATGCTCCAGGAATATCTCCCTTCTTCTCCAGCAGATAAGCCTTGGCTTCATTACAGTGGTACTTCTCCGTTATCTGGAGACAGAGTCATGAACTGTAAAGGATGATCACATCCCTTCCTGCTTGATGAACAGATAGAGGCAGTATGAGATGGAAGGGAAGCATTTCTTTTTACAGAGAGACAACTGTGAAGTCCAGACTGATGGTTGGTCTAGCTCCCCCTGCTGGATGATTGATAACATTCATTAGATACAACAGCATCCGGGACAGTCTATCAACCGGCCACATTTAGAGCCTCTTCACATGAAGTCCTGCTCTCCTTGCCATGACAACGGGAACGTGAAAGTTGAAGCTCTGTCTTATTGAACATTCTGCCAGGCATTGCCACCAGACCCTTTGGGCCTGCCAGGTCTGACCGCTATCCTCCCTCACCATCGGAGCCAACTCACAGCTAGGTAATAGTAAGTGGACACCTCTGCCCTTCTCTTCACCCAAGTGTCCAAGACATGCAGCCGCAGATCAGATGAGACGATCATCGAGCTGGGGCCTAACGTGTCCTGGTGCAAAGAGCACATATGGACACCCTTAAGCTTGAACATGGTGTTTGCTATGGACAATAGCAACAGTCAGAACCCTTTCAACGCTAGAACCAGATGAACCCCGAGATAGAGGGCAACGAATATACCCAACTCCAGAGTGACAGCGTGTCCAACCCTTTGCAAGAAGACTGGTTCCAGAACCAGGGCTGTGTGTTGAGGTGAGTCCGGCTATTTCTAGCTGGAACCTCTCAATCTCACACACCAGCTCAGGGTCCTTCCCTGCCAGGGAGGGGAATTTCCATATCCTGGGATATAGCTGAGGATCAGACTACCAAGGGCCCCACCTTCAATAACCCCCATCACACATTGTACCCGACCCGCTCAGGTGGTGAGCCCATAGAAAGAGGGACACAAGTTTCCTCTCTGGGTTGAGCCCAGTCAGTCCTTTAGGTATAAAAGACCTCTATAACCTACCCCACCTCAAGGTCTGACTCTAGAGGGGGGGCTGGTGGCCCTTGTCCAGGTGAGGAGATCCTGTATCTAATGTTACATCTCATCATAAGGGATTTTTAGACTGTTTTTTTAAAACCATTTATTAAGAATTTTGTAAATTCCAACAACATTGTAGAGGCGTAAAAACAGTACCTGTATGGCCTCCTCAAGCCTGTAATGCTGGGAGGTGTGGAGAAACTTCAGAAGCTCCTGTGGTTCAAAGCGGCACATCAGGTCCAGCAGAAGCTCATAAAGTTCAGACTCCAGAGGCAGCCGGGACACGGACTGAGATCCTTCTCTGAGAGAGACAGTGACAAGGACAAAGAGTCCAAGATCAGGAAGGACAACAGGACGTCTGTAGTTATCAAACACAAGGGGAAGGAAGTAAACCGTACTGAGACTCCAGGAGGCAGCGGAGGAACTGGAAAAGTAGACTGTCGTCCTGCAGAGACACGCACAGAGAAGCCTTCTGAAATAAACCACTTTACTATGTACAACTGCTTAATTGCTTGTTAACCCTAATAATGACTAAGCCATGATTGCAACTAAACGCCTGTAGGCCTCTAGAAGAAGTGAAGACGACTTTCTGAAGTTCAAACTGAGTGTCAGAATAAAGCAGGTGATTGAAGTGAGTTTGAATGCAGCATGGTTGTTGGTAGCAGACTGGTCAGTCTGAGTGTTTCAGATAATGTTGATCTGCTGGGTTTTCACACAGAACCATTTCTCATATTTACAGAAGGTGGTCTAAAATAGTGAACATCCAGTGAGCTGCAGGTGGAAGAGCAAAGACAGCTGTGTGACGTCAGAGGAGGACACACTTTGAGGTAACAGGAAGAAAACAAAAACTCCAAGAACTGCTGGTTACAACCAAGATCTGAACAACACCATCTCTGACTGGTGTCACTGTAACTAGCTATACTTACGAGGTTACATTTACTTAAATAACTTTTTAAAGAAAAAATACTTTTAGAAGTTTTTTTTTTTTTTTTTTTTACTATGCAGTACTTTTTACTTTTACTTGAGTAATATTTTTTTTATAAAGTATCACTCCTCTAACCACTCTGAGTAAACTTCACAGGATGAAGAACAAACATGTTTTAACCAAAAATTCACCAGGGGCAAACACATGCAGTTTCATAAGTTTTATATTGAAATAAACTGATTTGGTTTTTTTTCCTCCTTTTGTTCAACTTTGTAATTATGTTATTTACATTAATTATTTTTATTTTGATCTTTAAAATACCAAAATTTCCACCTTTTTTCATATCTTGGTCCGTTTGTTGATGTAATTCTTAAATATTAAATGCTTGATGTTCTGATCAGTGACTCAGCACTTGAATCACTCAGAATCACTTTTTAGCAAACATTTATTACTCTTACTTGAGTAATTTTTTGGAAGACTACTTTTTACACATGTTGAGGGTTTTACTGCTGCCAAGTTGTGGATTCAATTTAAACCTACCTGAAATATGTTAGTTATTCTCTGTAGCAAAATGTAGATTTGAGCCTAAAGTTTGATCTCAGCTCTAAACCTAAACATCACACTGAAAGAGGATGCATTTAAAAAATATAATTGAAAGCTTTGTGTGTCTGAAGTGTTGATGATGAGTTGTTTACCTGCAGCTCAGAGATGATGGTCTGCACCTCCTCTGTGAAGTGCCACACCACCAGGTCAGCTAATTTACCAGGATCCAGGCTTGCCAGCTCCTGTTGTATAGTATGACAACACACTGATGACTGATGCAAATACAAAACAGGATGAGGCCATAGTAGAACATGTTCGGTCCAGCCAAAGTATATCCCTGAGAACGAGCTGCTGGGAGACGCTGTCTCTCCTCATTACAATCTGACCACTAGCCGCAGTGCTCCTGACCTGCATGTGCTGCAGCACCTTCTCCTTGACCTTCAGCTTCTCCTCGGAGCTGTAGCCCGGCATGGACATTAGGTTGTGGATGTAGCTGAAGATTTCCGCCTAACACGCAAACACAGCAGAAAACTATAAATGACTGATTTCAGTAAGTTATTTCATGATAAAAAAGCAATAAAAAAAAAAGAAGAATCCAATATTCTGCACAAACAGCACATTTACCTGAAATCTGAAGCTAAACCTAGCAGGCGTTTGAATTAGTCCATATTTTAGACGCAAAATAATATGTTAAATACTATTAATATAATGTCTAATAATCAACATATTATTTTAGCAGGAATAATTTTTTCTTTGCTAGATTATAAATATGGTACAATGAGAATATTATACTTCTATTTCTATTTCAGTACACATAACTAATAATAATTAATGTTGGTGAAAATGTATGAAATCTGTACACTATGTGCGATCCAAACACTTCGGTACCTTTCGAAGTGGGTCCTGTAAGTAGCAGTCCACGATGCGGTCATACAGATGCTTCTGCTCATAAAGGAACTCACAGATCTGGTAGCTGGAGGGCAGAAAACACACAGCATCATGTAACAGAAATAACCACTGGTGAAATGGAACATCGGGATGTAATTCTGATTTCTTCATAAGTTAAAGCTGCAGAATGTAACTTTTATAAAAAAAAAAAATAAAAAATAAAAAAAAAATATATATATATAACATATTTGTAATATATATATATATATATATATATATATATATATATCACATATTTGTAATATATATATTACATATTTGTAATATATATATAACATATATATGTTACATATTTGTAATATATATATATATATAACATATATATATTACATATTTGTAATATGTATATAACATATATATATTACATATTTGTTGAAACTGTTACCATGTCATGAGAGTCTGGGATGAGACAGATAATCTGTGAAAAATTTGAACTCCTCTTCCTTCTCCCAGTGCTAACTAGACACAACCAATCACAACCAACCAATCACAATCTCATGTGGTGCTGCTCATCCACCCTTCTCCTCCACCCTAAACATGCTGAAGTGATTTTCATGTTTAAGCATCAGATGTAGATCACCATGTTTGATTAGCTGCTTACAACTTGGCTTTCTCTGCCAGTGTGAAGAGCCGTTCTTCGTTGAACTGGACCACCCCCCCGACCTGCAGCAGCTCCAGCAGAACCTAAGCAGAGACACAAATGATACATGTCAGAGTCTGTCCAAGCAGATTGGCGGGGAGATGAGAGTCACGCTTAATAAATGACTTAAAGGTAACCAGTACCGCCAGTCCACCCTCTGGACCACCTGGGAACATAAGCATCTCTTCCAGGTAGATGATTCTGACTTAATAAATCTGAAATATAACTTTTGACACCAAACATCTATGTTTTTCTGTAAGTCAGAACCAGTGACCCTCTGTTAAACACAGGAAACAAGATGTTCCAGCTCAGCAGAAAACAAAGAGTTCTGGTTCTGAGCTGAGATAAGGAGATGACATAAAGTTCAGCTGAGTTCCACATTGCTACAATAACTGCTGCCAGCTGAGAAAACAGTAAGGTGACCGCCTGCCTCTTCTCCCCTCTCCCCACACTGGCCTTGACCCACCTCTCAGAAGACTCTGTTAGGACAACAAGATTCATTTCCCAGCAGGACTCGCCACGTGTTGCTGCTAAAAGTACCAGCAGCAACAAGAAGCTGCTTCAGATACCATGCTACTACTGAGCTTGGTTAGCTCGGCTGGACTGACCAGAACCACATAGAGAAGATTTGGAGTCAGGAGGAAGATGAGAGACACCAGAACCAAAGAACATGGCATGAAGTTCTCTATCAAAAGCAACCTGGACTTCCAGAACCTCAGCAGAACCACAGGCTGGTCTCCTCAACGACACACTGCACTGATGCAGGAAGTCATGCAAGTTATAGATATGAACAGATTTTTCAAAAACCTGACATTTCTGTTCAAAACATCTTTTTTTTTATTGATCTCGTGTAATATTCTAATTTTCTGAAACAAGAAATTTGGGGTTTTCTTATCCAAGTCAGAATCATGAAAATACAGAGTACTGAAGACCTGAAATTTATATAATATGACTTTCCCCTTTTGAAATGAAGGATGAAAAATATAACTCTTTCATATTACATTTTTTGAGCTGTGCCTGCAGAGCATTGACTGATGTTTATTAACCGTTTTAAAGCAAAAGTACATTTTTCACATTTCCTGCTGTGTGGTAAGAATCCATAAAGAACAACATAAATGACTTTATAAACAGCACACCTGGACTTACTGGTTACAATTCTGGAGACAGATACTTTCTATTTTATGTTGAAACAAACTCAACAATTTCCATTTGTACAATTTTTATCTTTTCTCCCTCGTTCAACCAAAAACTGGAAGATAAAAGTCTTCAGTCCGGTGCGTTGGCCTCAACTAGCCCTTTCTTTTTTTGAAGGACAATTTTGATTACGGACTTCTTAATTCTTTTTATTTGGTTTTTTCTGTTATTTTGTTTATTTACTTTGGATATTTGAAATGTCTTCCAATTCTTATGTTAAATGTTTGTTTCAATTTAAAGTTTATTCATCTTTGAATGTGTTCTTGCATTATTATGCCATTACTATTATTTTACTTGAAAATGGTCTCAAAACAACAATGTTATTGTTTATCGCAATAACTTCTGGAACAATTTATCGTCCAGAAAAATTTGTTATTGTGACAGAATTAGCTGTTTCTACATCGCATTGGTCACATGACTCAGAACAAGACCCAGGATGATCATCTATTGAGCTACATTTTCATGTTAAAAACAAAAAACATGAAAAGCGTTCTGTAGGAATAGGTGTGCTTGATCCTGCATATTTTCAAAGACAAAGTGTGAGTGGCAGACACGGTTCTACATTGACATGTACCTGCTGCCGTTCAGTATGTCGAGAGTCATCGTCAGGGCAACACAGGAACTCCAGCACCTGAGGAGACAGAAGTCCTTCAGACACAGAGGACAGACAGAGACACAAGGAATTCAACACCGTGCCTGTCTTCCATCTGCTGTCACTGCTGCAGAAGAATGTCTCAGCTTGAAGATGCAAAAACACGTTTCTTCAGCTTAGAACATTCTCAACCTGTGAGGTTGTTCTGATGCAGAGGGAATATATCTGGTCAGATGATCATTTCACTTCCGTCTCTCCTCTTTCTGACTTTCGGTCTGATTTCAGCTGATGATGTCACTGAGCTGAAATGTCTGCGCAGCAAGCTGATAATATGAGCTGACACCACAAATACTAAAGCTGCAAAGCTTCTGAAACCCATGAGTCACTTAAAAAAGGAAGGCAATGCTTTTATACTTTCATTTGCAGATAGATGCATTTAATTTAAATCAAATATTTTATTCCACTGTTTCTGTGTCTCTGGAGTTCATCTTAAAGGAGAGTTTAAGGACCCTCCAATCTGTATTTATTGCTTAGTTTCTGTCATTTTGGGTTTAGTCTTAATGGGCGGCCCCTTGGTGAGGCTTTTTGGTTCACTTCAAGGTTTTAATAAGCGCACACAAACTTGGGAAGTGAATTTGATGTAAAAACAAAGAGCATTTGCTGATGTCAAAAGTATCGTTTGCAGTAATAAATCTAGTAGAGAATTGTCTACATACCTGATCAAAAAGGTTCCTGTTCACAAACAGTGTGTTATTTGGTTTGGCCAGCTGGCGAGCCAGGAAGGTGAAGAGACCACCGACTTGGGAGGGAGTGAAGTCAGGGTTGTCCACCATTACCTTTCATTAAAACAAACGAGCAGTATATTAATTAATGCACAAAAGGAAAACAAACAATAAAAGTGAAATTAATCATGAAAGATTTTCAGACTCTGGTCATAATCATTATGGGTTTCTCAGAAGGTCTCAGTGGACAACTAGCAGTTGTAAACCACCTGAAGAAGCTGCATTTTGGCTTCCTTTCTCTCTTCATTACAGCAGATTCAAAATGTTAATAAAACCCAAATCTCACCTGAAGTAAGATGTCCACTGTCCTCTGTTGGTACTCCAGGGCCTGCTTGTCGTTCTGGACATCATCAAACGTCTGGAAGACATACACACATTTCTCCAACCAAGAACATATTTTCTTACTTCAGTCAGCATTAAACAAAGAATCTTTCCATTTGTGATAGTAATTAGATTTTATGTTATAAAACTTAAAAAAGTGTAAAGTTTAGAAATGAGTGGAGATTTTATTGGGTTTTTTCAATGATGAAGGCAGTATACCACGCATAGCCAGCACTTAGATTATATATATATATTATATATATTTTGCTGGATGAAGTTTTTGCGATCACCAATAATAAACAATAAGATTGTTGTTTTAAGGCCATTCTCAAGTCATATAATTCTCATGGAATAATAACACAATTCATTTAAAATGAATTAATTTCAAATATCCACAATAAATAAACAGAACAGCAAAAGAGAGGCTTATGAAGCTTCTGTAAACAAAATTGTCGTTCAACAGTGGAGCTAGTTGAGACCAAAGCACCAAACTGAAAACATTTATCATCCAGAGAGAAAAGAGAAAAATGATAAATCACGCAAATAGAAATTATTGATATTTTAATTTATCATGTGATTAATTGAGTTATTGCTTATTGCGACAGGCCTATCTGTGTCCATATTAGAGAATATATTTGAAGACTTAGTGTCCCAGATGTACTTGAACGCAGCATGAGCTCGTGTTGGGAAAATCCCTTCTCATCAATGGAGATTCCTCTGTCTTGCATAAATATAAATATAAATGTACAGAGTTTGGTCTGACTGCTCCAGGTAGCTGGTTTACATTCAGATTAGCATTGTTTCAGGTGAGTAATTTAGCTCAAACTCTGTGGTTTATTGTGGTTAAAACATTTGTTATCTGGCATAAAGTTTTGTATGTCAGGTTATATGTTTTATATTTGTGTCCAGATGTAAAACAACACTTTATTAGTTCACTGGAAACTAACTGGAGATTTTTGTGTCAGTTTATATACTCAAACCAATCTGAAATTGGCCAAACTTTGAATAAAAACCTAAAAAATAAAAAAACACAGTATAACCAACAGCTTGTTAATGACAGTTGAGAGACAGTCAGACAAGCATCTCACCATGGCAAGGACATTGAGGAACTCCCGAGTGTCAAAGTGGAGGAGTGTGTGAATAAATGGGAAGACTTCCTCCTTCTGTGAGGAGTCGCCTGAATGGAGACGGATCAGGAACTCAAACACCTGATCAGACACAAGCAGAACATAAAAACAAACAAATGCCAAACAAACCGCCTGCTTTCAATAACTCCAGCTACATAATAATATTGTAGAGTGAAGTTATTCCACATCAACATGCACAACACAATGATCTTCAACACACTGTTTTTGTTGAAATGCAGATTCCTGTAGAGACCAAAAGATTGCTTTCACTGGATTTAAATACATTTCTGAAAACCAGTAAAATAAAAATCAACATCACTTTATTTCATGAACTGTTCTCAAAGAGTACTGGTCGTCTGAACGGTTGACCATACCTGGTATTTGACCTGAACAACCAGATCTTCAGGGATGTCTCCAATCGGATAGGCTCTTCCAGCAAGACAGCAGCTTCATCCCCCCCACACACACACACATACAGAGATGTTCATTGATCACAGCACAGTGACGCAATTTCTGATTTTAGTATGCAGAGAGCTATATTTCAACAGGCAGTTTGGCAACACTTTATTTGAAGGGGGGTGAATAAGACTGTCATGGCACTTTCATAAACATGACATAACACATAAATCATTACTGTTTAAACTTTACCTTTAATAACAAAGTTACCTGATTTTTAAAGTGCAATCAGTAATACTTTTATAACAAATTTATATCAGTAATGATTTCTTGGTTAATGTCAAGTTGTCATAACAAAGACATTTTGAATAATGTCAACTTTGTATTAAAGTGTCATAATATACCGAATGACACTTTATGACAACAGTCATAAATATTCATGAAGGCTTATTCATGTTCATGACATGTGTTATGTCATGTTTATGAAAGTGCCATGACAGTCTTATTCACCCCCCTTCAAAGAAAGTGGTACCGGCAGTTTTATTTAACATGAAACATGCAGCTGAAAGTAGAGAGGCACTGATTTGATATTGAAAAAAATTCTAGATGGGATATCAGTGACAATGTGCCCAATCCATAAGGTCAGATCTATTCTGTCTAATTCTATGCTTTGTGCTCTGAGCAACGTTATGCTTTATTATTTATTTTATATTACATTTAGAATTCATAAATATAATTAAAAAAAGGTTTGTTGCAGTTTATTCCTAAACGTTTGACCAAGGTAGTCAATATATTGTTTTTGTCACTTTCAGTTCCTTCATTATTTATTTCACTTTGGCTGTTATACTCATATTGCGCTGACTGAACAAATTAATGTTGTGTTGTTTTTGTATGTTTGACCAAGCTTGTGAAGCTGTTGGTATATGTATGTATGCTGTACTGGTGCAGAGTTATTAAATGTATTTGTAATTCGGTACATTTATGTATGTGTTTCAAAAAAAGAAACATTTTAAGCCAATCCAGCTGTTTTTCTGTATCAGATCAATATCAGATGATACTAAAACCTCAGAAGTGGGTCAGTGCATCCATAGCTAAAAGACTCCCCTGAACTTTTAGCTAGCTTTATTCTGATGTTTCCAGGCTAATCGGTTATTCAGTTAGTAAAACTTCACAAATAAGCCTCAATGGAACAAATACAACAAAACTGGTGAGGGTGATACAGACGTACATTAGAGCAAATAAAACACATCAAAATTAATAAATAAATAAAAAAAATGAGTTTGTGTAGTCACTATATTCTATGCATTTTTGTAAGTACAAAGACAGGCTAAGCCTCTAATATACAGCAGTTTGACACAGGGGGTAATAACCGCATCAGGAAGATTTACCTTATGTAAACTAGTAATTTATTCCCCATCACCACATCATCACCTAAAGAAAATGAAACACATGTAAAAAAAAAAAGAAAAGTATTTCAAAATGTTTTGTGGCAAAATACTGACAGAGAGGAAAAAAACCCCTGAATAGAACAGAAAAGGAAAGTAGAAGGTGCTGGCTTCACCTGTTAGGCTCTGCCCCTCTCTGACTCTGGGACCAATCACTGAAAAGAGTTTCTGAAATAATAAAGCACACAGTTCAGGAGGGCTCTTTGTCCGTTATATCAGAGCACACAGAATGCAGTTTAGATCTTCTGAAGTGTCTATAATTTCCTCAATTAAATGGATGATGAAAAAACTGACAAAGTAAAAAAAAACAAAAAAAAAAACATGTTATCTAAAAGAAACACTTAAACATTGGAAAGCTGAATAGCACTTTGCACCAATCTGATAACTGAAGAACCTGAATAATCCTCAACTTCCAGTTCAGTCAGTCACAAAAACACGTCGTTTGTGTGGAACTTGCCTCCATCGGAGTAATGTAGTCATTCATGCCTCGGTTGAAAATATAGATCACTGCATCATAGAGCTGGTTGTTCCAACACACCTGGACCACCTTTACTCATCAAGCCACACAGACAAGCAGAGACAACATGTCCAAGCATCCATACTTCATACTTGTTGTGTTCTATATACAGGATTCATCGTACATCTACACACCTGCTGTATGTCCAGACTTGTGACATCCAGATGGACAATGCATCTCTCCAGGCTGTCCATCATACCGTTGTCATGGTAATGTGCCAGGAGATCCTTCATAACAGGCGTAGTGATGTGACCAAGCCGATTGGCGACGATGTACGACTCCAGTGACTCCAGGAAGACGCCCTTAGCAACCATATTCTCCACTAGCCGAGAGTACAGTTGGTTGAACAGCAGGTCACTGTGAAACAAGGAGCTTCACTCTCAACGGTCAGAGAACCAACACTGACCACTTCATGGTGGAAAATAAACCACCAAAACCACCAAACACAGCCTTTACGTCACAATCTTAAAATAAAAATTGTGTGGACTGCCTTATTGTGTTAGCTCTGGTCTTTGCCCGTTTTCTGACACCAAATATGTTGTGAACATAATAGACATCAAGCACTTTGAACTGCCTTCTTGCTGAAAATGTGCTATATAAATAATATTACCTACAACCTACCTTATGCTTTTTGTTTCGTTGTCACACTTAAATATCAGATCATCAGAGAAAATTAACTATCCAACAGAAATAACCCAAGTGAGTACAAAATGCAGTTTCCAAAAAAGACATCTGACGCCAATCAAAGTTCAGGATTCAGCAATAAGAAAGAGAGACTGAGAAGAACAAAAAAAAAAAACAAAAAAAAAAAAAACCCACAAAGGCCTGTCTCACATTTACCAAAAAAAACAAAAAACACACATCTGGATGATCCCAGAGACTGCTGGGAAAATATTCAACAAGTGGAACTGTTTGGAAGGTGTGTGTCCTGTTAAATCTGGAGAAAAACTAACACAGCATAAAAAAAAAACACAGCGACAGTCAAACATGGTGGTGGTAGTGTGATGGTTTAATGAATTCTACTTTCTGGCAAAAAACTATCTGAAGAAGAATGTTATTTTCTTGATCTCAAACACATTTAGTGGATGAAACAGGGCAATAATCCAAAGCACATGAAGTTCACCTCTGACTGTTTTTAAATGACGGTTCTGAAGTAGCCTAGTCAAAGTCTTGACTTAAATACAATTGAGATGTTGTAGAGTGACCTTAAACAGAAGGTAATTACTAACTCACATAGGACCATGTTAATTAGTTTGGATAGATGTTTATGACTTGATGAAATCTGCTGGTTCTCCTTAGATAGAAAACTTTTTAAACTACTCTGAATAATAAACCGGGGTTAAAGCATTGGTTGATAACTATGATCAATTGGAAGGTTTGTGTGATTCTAGTCATGGTCAGGCTTTGTCCTGCCTTTGGAAGGTCAGCGTCATTAAAACAATCAGCCACAGCATGACACACACATGTACTCACGCCTTCTGCAGCAGGAGGCAATAATCCACCAGGACTGGTACCATTTCCTGATCCAGGCACAGAGATAAACAGGGAACATTGATTTCATTCACAACAATCAAATCAGTCTACTGACATTCCAAGTTTTAGACCAGTCCCTTTTTAGTCATGCCAGACACAGTAAGAAGTGTAACAGGCTCAGTTCAAGTAAGTAAAGTGATAATGTGTTCATCAACACCGCAAGGGGAGGCAGAGCCTTACAGCCTGTTTTCTCACTAATCTTGTTTGCAGAATGGCAACTTTTAAATGGCAAATGTTCTTTTTTTATTTATTTATTTCTATGTATTTGACACCATTGAAAAGCTTAGGATCCACACTTTCAGAATCGGTAAATAACTCAGAATGCCCACAGAGGTTTTATTTTTAGGGCAGTGTCTGCACACTACACTGCCTCCAGTTCATCCTGCTGCACTTTTAATTTTCCATGGCTTAGTTTACCATCTGCCTTAATGATTGAAGCTACATGTTCATTTTTTCCCGTTAAATTTAACTAAAATAGGACGAAATTACTGTATTTCATTTGTCCTTTGGTAAATATGAATCCCATTATTTTTGTGAAAATGTACTGGTTTAGGAAAATTCTATTAAGGTTTTACACCACTGCTCTTCCTCACTATGGATACATTTGTCTTATTTTTATCTCACTGAGAGCTGTTGATCTTATTGTGAACAAAATTGCTTTAATATTCCTAGTAAGTAATGTCCACACGCTGAAGTTTAGGTCATTTTCTCTCGTCATTCATCCACTCACCTTCATGTAATGGATCACTAATGTCAATTTGGTAGCATAACTTATTTTATCACATTGTGATAAACAGTTGCAGTACACTAATGCTGGCTAATGCTGAAAAAGCAAGATAAAAGGGGGTAACCGTGGCAATCAGTGCAAGTGTAATTTGAGCAGTCACATTATCCATCATGTTTACCACATTATCCATCATGTTTACAAGCGAACATACAATTAAAAACATAATTAAATGTCGTCATCACAGGTTCCATATTTGGTCACTTACTGATTATTCTCACAGTTAAACAGATTAAAAGTTCAAATAAGCCAACGTGTTTCCATTACCTGGAAATGCTGCTCCATGACCTGCAGCTTGCCCTGTTCTGGGCATTTCTTCACAGCGTACTCTGTAAAATGGAGAAGAATCTCTACCATCTGCAAAGACAAGGTGTTTCAAGTTTGAAAAACAAAAAAACCCCAGCAGATTTTACAAAGTGTGTTAGAGGTAAAGACACTCACCTTGTCGCTGATAACCGCCTTCCTTCTCTGTGAATCTCCATGAAGGCCTTAAACAAAGATCCAGAAAGAAAAAAGAATCCCAGCTGTTCTTTTCATATGTGATCAAACCATATTTAAAAAATAGTTTATATTAACATTAATTATGACCACACCCACCAACCACAGCCTTGGCGGTGCCTTCATGGAAGGACCAGGCCAGAGACAGAGCCTCAGTGAAATGCTCCTGCTTCAGTAAACAGTCCAGACGCTGGAAACAGAGAACATGGGTTGTCTGGGTAACCATGGAAACCCACAGGAAACACACTGAAGATGTGGCTGTAAGCAGATGACACTCAATTGCTTCCACGGACGTCAGTTTCATATTTACATCCTAATATTTCTGTTCTTGTGTACTTCTGTGACCCTTTAGCTTCTTTAAATCTAACAAATTTTTTTTGTAATATGATCTTCATATGCCTATAAACAGCAATACTGCTTTTATCATACCATCATTATACCCTGATGAGCTCATCCTCACATATAACTCTATTGGCTGAGATCAATTGCTTCCTGCCTTAAAGTTAGAGCCATATTCTGACTGCTGCCATGACAGTTGAGGGTTTTATGCAGACATGTGACACATTCAAAAAGATGAAACATGATGCATACCTCTTTCCAGTTCCTTAGGGACATAATGTGAGCTGACTGCAAAACAAGCAAATCAAAGCAAAGCACACACTGTTAAACAACAAGATCAAGTAATATTGTGCAAATAACACCCATATGGTTGACAATCATCAAAGTATTTTTTTTAAATAGTAACAATAATAGTAAATGTTCCTGTGTTTGTAGAACTGCTGCTTGAAAAATTTCTGCTGGATTTCTAGATTTGGTCATGTGACTTTTTACTACCCAGCCAAACACACATATACACACAACTCCAATAAAACACAGTAGAGTTTGTGTTTGTAACATGACAAAGTTAAAAAGAGGACTAAATATTTTGCACAAGCTAGAAAGCTGAGTTTTGTTCTGTATTAAACTGAGTTTTGTTCAGCATTAAACTGAGTTTTGTTCTGTATTGAACAGTGATGGATGAACCTACACAGACTAAAGCTAACAGCTACCTTGGTGCCCAGGCAGACGATCTGTCCTGCATAGCTTGAGAGTGACTGATAGCAGGCCTTTTCTCCAACCAGCGCCTAAAACACAAACACACAGATTTAACAATCTAAACACATGAACAGCAGATCTGATCGGCTCAGCTGGTGTCTTAGGATGACCACATGTTTAATAAATCACCGTAACACTGACTAGCACTGACAGCTATTTTAGCAAATAGTAGTAGATAAGCAGGATTTGTCATTTCAGAATTCTTAACTTTCACACTGCAATGTATTTCCAGCATATTTTGAATTTTGGAATATTAAGCATGCTGAAGTTAACTTCACATTCTTTAATACACCTGGAACCAAATCAAACTCTTACACATGGTATTTTTCTGGATTCTTTAAATCACATGTGTTAAACTCAATGCCCGGGGGTCAAATCTGGCCCTTCCATAGCTTTGTATATGGCCCTCTACACCCCAGATGCCAAATTACATAAATCAGTCCCACCGGTTTTTAGTAAGTCTAGGACTGCAAAAATTCACACAAAATCAACAAATCCCCGCATTTTTTGCACTATTGAATAATTCAACATTTCTTGTAAATTTTCCACAAAAGTGGTCAAAAACATCGAGCTTAAGTGATGCCAAGTCCCACCTGCAGGTGGCAGTATTTCTTACTTTTATACCACTGCTGCCTCACTCCTTATTTGTTGTCAAGTTCACATCCATAACAAAAAGTTGCATTTAATGTTATACATAAGTGCAAATATTGCACAATTCCTTGCAAATATTTCTAAACTAGCACCACAAAATTTGTGACTTTCAAAGCAAAAAAAAACAACAAAACAAAACAAAAAAAAAACACAAAAAAATCACAAAAAGAACTGGGAAATCCTGGATAGATCAATGTGAAAAGATGTTCAATATTATTTCAGTCTAAGAAGTATTTATTGAATACAGATACAGCTATTTATTAATATTTCAACAGTTTAACGGGTTTTATCAGAACATTCTGCCACAAGCAGCTATCTAGGAACATTCATGATCTTGATGTGGCACGAAACAAAACTGAGTTCGACTCCACTGCTTTAAGTAATTTTAATTCTGTTATCACAAAAATAAAAAAAACAGCATTGTCAAAGTTTGGTTTGGTTCCTAAACAACATCAGTGAGTTTTAGTCACAATACAGCTATAAGAATCTGGTCCAAATGCAAGTTTTTGAATGAGTGCGTATTAATCTATGGGTTTTCTGTCAGTTCCTCTATAATCAAAACGATCACTGAGAACCAGAAGTGAAGTTGTGAATGTCATTTACACAAAACAATGTATGGAAATCTGAATTTAACTCTGTGATGGCTTACTAAGGAGTAAAGATTGGAACTTAAAGGTTTTGCCACACTTATTATGAGTAGAAAAATGATAAAAGCCCGTTCCGTTTACAGACATTTCCACAGAAACGGGTGTCTGTCTCACCAGAGCCTGGGAGACGTTGCCTCCAGTTGCTAGGGACTTGAAGTGTCGGCTGTTGTAGACCAGCTGCACCTGCTCCAGGTCCAGCGTCTCCAGGACGTCCTGGGTGGGCCGGTCCACCACGTGCAGCTTCTCATGGCTGTCCAGCAGCACCAGGCTGCAACTGTTGATCCACTGCAGACACAGCAATAGCAGCACACAGATCCCATTAAGTTTTCCCAGCTGGCGCCGCACGTCGTTCAGCCAACACTAAAAATGAAGCACTTTGCTCGCATTTAGGAACGCACAAAAAAGAACCTTCAAGGTAGCAATTGAATATTATTTTATCAATCAAATCAAATCAGTTTTTATCTGTATACTGCGAAAATACATCAGTTTTTTGGCTCCAGCTTTTTTATCATTCCATGATTCATCTAAAATTAACAGATCATCACATATTTATGCGCTATCGCATAACTGTGAGTTTATTGTGAATTTTCTGCATAAAATGGCAGAAACAGCAGGTTGAAGTGACGCTAACTCCCACCTGCAGCTGACAGTATTTTTCAATTCTATGCTGCTGCCTGGGACTTACTTGATGTCAAGCCACAGTCTGTGATCGATTATTGCAAGTAACAAAAAGTCACATTTAAAGTCATACATAAACGCAAAAATTACAAATGTTTCTAGCAAATATTTCTAAATTAGCACCACAAAATCACCAAAACAATGTGAAATCCTGAAGAGACTGATCGATGTGAAAAACTGTTTAATATTAGTTTATTTTAATTAGAACTTGTCAAATGGGGAGAGAGTTTTAACAGTTTATCAGTTTTATCAATAGATTCTGAGAACATTGGCGGTCTTAATGTGGCCCAACATGAAAACAAGTTTAACACCTGATTCAGAACAGCGCTCGTCTTTTCTGCTCTGGGGTTTTTTGGCTAAGCTGAGGTCAGAGCTTACGTTCAGGTTGATGATGTCACAACTCAGCTGCAGCTGCCTCTGCTTGATCACATGGATGGTGCCCGTCTCCTCCTTCTTCACCTGGATAAATCAGACCAGTTTAACCTTCACAGAGACCACCCAAAAGAGCAGTTCATACAATGGTTGGTTTATGGAAGAGACTTGGACTAGGACTAAAAGATGTATCGGTTCCAAAGGTTTACTGGCAAATCTCATCAAATAATCTAACTGGGACTGTAAATTGAGATTAGAATCAGATGATGGAGAGGATGGAGCTGAGCAGATACCAGCAGGAAGTGGACTGAGTCTCCTTTACAAAAGGCCAGCATGGGGTTGACCGTCTTCTGGACAGGAACAAACTGCCAGGCCAGCTGAGGCACGCTGCTGGGATCAGACTGAGGAGAGATGACGTCAAAAACAAATGTTGCTGAAACATTAAACAACCCCCGCCAGCCCCCCACCAAAAAAACACAGAACACACAAACTTTTAATGTTCAAGTTACAGAATTAGAACTAGAATTTCCTCCCAGTAGCTATAATGAACCCAGGTTATGCAAGTCTGATCTAAAACACTTAAGTGGGACAAAAATGAGAGGTGATTCCATCCTAACAGACTAGCAGGAGGCTAGAGGATCAGACCTTAGTGTAGGGAAGAGTCATCCACACATTCAGGCTGGGCTTGAGTCCAATGATCAGAATCTGATTGGAAGAAATCAAAAAGTAAAAACATCAGTAGTTCTAACAATCATGTGTGTACTTCTGTCTTCACAGGGACTTTGAACTGACTTCCGTTCATTTTTTTTTTATTAATTTCTATAGCCTAACCCTGAATGTAGCTCTAAATCTAACCAGTATCCATTCAATTTACACCTCAGTTCTAGACCAGACCTCTAACCCATACTAGTTTATTCCTAACCCTAACCTTAACCAAAATTTTATTCACACCTAACCTCTAAACCTAAGCCCTCCCTCTCTAAATCTACATATTTTCTCCGATTGTGGTTTCCCTACAGCTCAAATATCCTCAGTCAAAGCGTGATGGATACACAGACAGTAGCTACTTCGTGGATCAACAGAAAGTCTGCCTTCTCTCAGCAGAGGGAGATAACTTCATCTTGATGTTTTTAAAAATAAAGATGAAAACTATCAGGGGTTAAAAAAACCCTTAACTCCAACCATAATGACCCGCCTGGGTCAGGAGATAATCTCATCTGGGTTTGGACCCATGGTCTATTATCTGATGCATAAAGCATCTCTGCAGTCGTTAACGGCAGCGTTTTTCTCCTAGCTTCTGGCCTGCTGTTGTTCTGTTTCTTTCTGTGCACTGGGACTACTGGAGTCCATACCTTGGTCAGGGAAGCCATAGCTAGGAGAGAGTAGCATGTGATGGGGTGGTCTCTGAAGTCTGGAGGAGTCCGCAGCGGTTCTATACAGCACACCTCTCCTTTAGAGCCGCTGAAGAGACATCGTGAGTCGCATGAGCGCATCCCCATCACCCTCCTGGAAGAAAAAGGAATTGTATTTCTGGTCATTTATCGCATCGTTTATCAATTATCGTGATAAATTTACTAGAATGATAAAAATTTTGATATATCACTGTCACAATAAATTTCAGTTAATTATATTTAACCCCGCAAAAAACTGTCTGCATTGTCGGGATTGTTACTTTTAGTTTTTGTTTTCCACCATTTTTTCATTGAGAACATCAATGATGCCTGTCACAATAACTAATTTTGCTGGACAATAAATTTTCCCAAAAGTTATTGCAATAAACAATAGCGTTGTTTTCAGAGCATTTTCAATAATATAATGGTAATGGCATAATAATGCAAGAACACATTCAAAGATCAATAAACTTTAAATTCTAATGAACATTAACACTGGATCTGGAGGACATTTTAAATATTCAAAATAAAAAAAACAAAAGAAAAGAAACAATACATTAAATTAATTATAAAATCTCTGTAAACAAAACTGTCCTTCAAAACAAGGGGGTAATTGAGACCAAAGAAGCAGACTGAAAACCTTTGTCATCCAGTCTTTGGTAGAAAGAGAGAGGAACAATAAATCATGCAAATTGAAATTATTGAGCTTGTTATAATTTATCATGCAATTAATTGATTTATTGCTCATTTCAACAGACCCAGTATGAATAAATATCAATAAATATGATTGAATACAGTTAGTGTGAGCAGTTTAGTGATACAAATCACACATTTTTTTTGTTCACAAAAAGAAGTAATAAATAGTTCTTATAGTCACTTTTATTCTTATCACAGTGATACCATAAAATATCATGATAAAACTTTAAGTGCATATCATCTGTTCCTAAGCAACAGGAATCACACACATACAATACAGCAGACTAGGTTTCTCTCAAAACACTCCTGTTTAGTGTTTTAATCCCACTGAGCCAAAAAGGTTCCACTTTAACAAACATTTCATTAGAGTACTGTTTGGAATATTCTCTTTTTTATACAGTTTTGTTCATCACACACCATTTTAAAAAAGATTGATGGAAAATGTGAGAAACCTCTCTATAAACTGCAGGTTTTTCTGGACAGAAATCATTTGGTTTGAGATTCACTTCATTTACCTGAAGGTCAGCTCAAACACAGACCCTCCGCTGTCGTTGCACACGGCCAGAGTTGGGTCATCTGTGAACTAAAGAAGGGGGGAGGGAAGAGGTAAAAGTTAGATGACCATCATCCAGGTATAGATCCGTATGGTGACTGTGTGTCTGAGAAACAATCATCACATTTATCCCCAAACATTTAGTCTGACTCGCCTCCTTCAACAATCCTCATGCTCTCCTTTCATGTTGAGTGTTATCTGTAAAACCTTTACCAAAGTGTAACTTCACAAGATGCTTAACCTTCCTCATTTAAGCTTTTTTGTTATAATTTGTTGGGAGTTCTCATAAAATTACGATTTCATTCTGGTTACATCATGACTTTATTCAAGTATTATTTGGACTCTATTGCTATATGACAACTTTCTTGTAATATTATGACTTTATTCTCATAATTTAGAAAAAAATCTTAGCCTGGCTGTAATACTTTGTGGTAGAGTTGACCTGAATTTAAAATCCAAATGAATAGAAGCTGTAAAACAAGAATGTTTGTCAAACAAGATGGCTGCCCCGGGCATGCTGACATCACACTGGACTTTGGAGACCCAAGGAGAGCATTGGTGAAAGAAATCCACATTTCCAAAAAGGAAATCTTTGAAAACCAAAAGTTTGATGATTCCATAAAGTTGATTCATTGCCCAGCGCTACATCAGGATAGTTGATAAATCTTCAACAAAATGCACATATCTGGACTTTTTAATAATAAAGAAATAATTCATGAACAGGATTTTTGGGACTCCCAAATTTACTGTATAACTGAGCTCATCTGCATGGTGCATGATGGGAACCCATCCTCAGAGGAACTTGAGAGGAAGTTTCTTTCTTCAACCTTCAGCCTGTAATCATTCAGAGCGTTCTGCTGAGCGGCTCTCACCTTCACATGCAGTATGGCCGTCCCTGGAGGATGGGCATCAGTGATGGTCCTCAAAAGCTTTCCGTTGGCGAGATCCCACATTGTAATCTGACCATGAACAACAGTTAGGGAACAAAGAACCAGGAACAGTTCTATAAAATCATCTGTACACAGTTGGCCAGATCTGGAATCAACTGGATTCAGTGAACTTCAGCATGAACACGATGAACTGGATAACAGCTGGTCTAACTCCAAAAACATTTTTGGGAAACTTCTGCACAGCTATATAAAACTGAGTTCTGTTCAATTTCTTCTTTTGCTTTGCTGTATCTGATTTCTATTCCACTACACCAAGGCTCCAGGCTACGGAATGTTGTCATGTCTTCTTAAAATTAAGCCTCCCTCTGTTGTTGTTCTCCATTGTAAATTGAATCTGGACAGACATCAGACTGCATATAAACCGATTTCCCTTCAAGAAGCCACAAATGTTTAATATACCTGACCCTTGGCAAAGCCACATAGCAGACGTGAGCAGTCGTGGTTGATGCTAAGAGCCGAAACGGCGCCGAACTCCGCTCCGGTTGTCTTGTTGCCCAGACAGAGCCGCAGAGCCTGGTTGGTGTCTGAGGAAGAAGGTTAAAGGAATGTTTACTGGCTTTAACCCGAAAAACATCTAGCATGACATTGTAAATGCATGTTTGATCCAGGAGCAGCTTAAGATCAAACAGCCCAGTAACACCAAATGACATGGGCACAGAGGGAGGAACAGAAAAAAATACAGCTCCAAGTGGAAAGCAAGAGATACATGCATCAAGCTAACGTGAACAAACCAAAGGCATTATGGGACAGGATGCTTCCAGCAGGCAGAAAATCAAACCGCAATAAGCATGATCATCAAACAGACATGGCCGTACCTTTTCCTGCTCAGGCCGTCATTATGTCAGCAGCATAAAGAAACATTAGTCAGCATCAACTCAATCACTACGACTGTAGTTCTATATCTGGTGCCGTTTGTAAAGTTACATAGTAAAAAAAATTAACAGCAATAATTTGGTTTAATTAGCCTGGCATAGAGAAAAAATTTCAATTTTCACCATGTCACTCATACATTTTTAAATGGTAGAGTTCCAAACTAGATATTTAATTCACAAGCTAAATATTTAAATTTCAAATTAAATTTTTACTTAGGAAGCTAAACATGTAGTTCCCAAGTAAAAGTTTAAGTCTGAGCTAAATATTTTGTTTTCAAAGTAAATATCTTGTTAATTAAATATTTAATATTTAATTTAGGGCTAAATGTTGAGTTAGATAAACTAAATATTTATTTTGCTAATTAAATATTTAGCTGGTGTATGAAATATTTAGTTTGGAACTCAAACATTTCTAAATATATGAATGACATGGTAAAAATATGACTGAAACTGGAACACCCACATTTTTTCTATATGATTATTGATGTTAATTTTTTTTTTACTGTCACTTTACAAACATTAGCCATGGTTCTATCTGTGAAAGCAGGCCTATTTTACAGCTAATTTCACACTTTTTACTAAAACCTTTAAATGTCTTCATCTTGACTAATTCGTAAACAAAAGAAACAGAACATGTGTACAAAAGAGCATTTGGTAACACTTTATTTGAAGGGGGTGAATAAGACTGTCATGACACTGTCATAAACATGACATAACACATAAATCATTACTGTTTAAACTTTACCTTTAATAACATAAAGTTACCTAAGTAATTCTTTTATAACAAATTTATATCAGTAATGATTTCTTGGTTAATGTCAAGTTGTCATAACAAAGGCATTTTGAATAATGTCAACTTTGTATTAAAAGTGTTATAATTTACCGAATGACGCTTTATGACAACAGTCATAAATATTCATGAAGGCTCATTCATGTTCATAACATGTGTTATGTCATGTTTATGAAAGTGTCATGACAGTCTTATTCACCCCCCTTCAAATAAAGTGTTACTGAGCATTTTATTACAGTAATTTCAGCACAGTACTAAAAATGCATATTTAGTCACTGTAGAAGTATTATCTAAAACAATATTATACTGCTATATATATATATATATATATATATATATATATATATATATATATATACACATATATATACACATATATACACATAGATATATATATGTCCAACTTTCAATGTTTTCTACAGTTTTACGACATAAATGCTCGTACTAAAGCTAATGACATGGACTATAATCCAGAGTCAGTACATCAACCATGTGTATGATCAAATCACAGGGACGGTAATTCTTCCAATAAGATTCTGATTTGCTTTCACTAACAATCCAAAAGAAGGGGAGTATGAGTGCCATCTTCCTCACACACTAAGGTCGGTAAGAGAAGTGCTTTGACACCAACCTAGTGGTCAAAATGTGAACTACACTGAATCACATTGAAATTTGCAGATAGATTCAGTGAATAATCTTAACTCTGAGTTGCGTTGTGCCATAAAAATATGTATTTAGTCTTCTAATAAATGACATATTAGAACAGACAACATGTGACAAACATTGTTAGTTATTTCTAATTTTGGGTATGAAGCCTTTTTGATACACTAAGGAATGGAGAGTGATACTAGTATATATGAACTTTAGGTACAATTGTAAATCCAAATTTGAATCAAAATTTTACGTTAGAGTACAACAAATAATAAATAAATATTGGTTTATTTCATTTTATGAGTACATGCCCAAATACAATATTTTTTGTATTGTAAAACAGGGAATAAAAGCTTCTGGGAAATAAGAGTAAAGGAAACTTTCTGTATTTAACTGTATTGGAAACACTGCAAGATGAAAACCACTGGTTGTTCAAAAATACAAGTTGAGATTCAATTTGTAACACTCATTTCATATTACAACAAATGGGCTAGAACTCCATAAAACATGAGCTATGCAACTAAGGAACTTTGCCGTATTTAGCTGTATTTGAAATGCTGTACGATGAAAAAGCAATGTTTGTTTAGAAACATTTTTTGAGTGGTTTTTAAAGTCTTGGTTGAGCATTAACATAATCAACCAAATAAACATCCTGAGATTGAACAGTTTGTAGACTCTTCAAGTTCCTGGTCGCTCTAATTAGTGTCATAGCTAAACATAGCTAAATTTACACCAATGACATGCGCAATGTACAAATTTATAATCTCTAAGTACATTTATAATGTCTGGTTAACAGCTAAAGTTTAGGCTTTTAGTACAATTGGATATAAATTTGAGCATTAAGGGTTTAATCAAAGAAAGCCAAAGATGAAGAGGAAGTATTGGTTTAGTTTATCATTTAACAATACTCTGAGCAAAAATATATATCTCCACATAGAAGTTTATGTTATGTAGTTGGCATCTGGTTCTGGATTTATAACACATTGCTCTCTGACGTCAACATGGAGTTTTCTCAAGTTTCACATTCCACCTTTAGCTTTTCTGATCATGGGTGGGAAGTATGAGTCTTATGAAATACAGTCAGTCAGAATAAACACTCTAATAGGGATGTCCACTGGCCCAACCCTTCATACTCTTATTAAGTTTTTTCATTAGTATTATAATAGAGTTGGAAATTTTAGAACTGAGATAATTCTGTTACGAGCGACAAAAGTACAAATAAGAAGCCTCAAAATAAAGAATACATCTGGTTACAATAAAAGTGAAATCACCCATGTCTGATCTTCATCTGTACGCCTGAAACGGAGTTATAAATTATTTACAGAGTCAACATCCCTTAATGTCATTTGAAGCAAACTATGAAGGCTTAACACATTAACTCACCAAACACCAGGGCAAGACCATGAGATGTTCCTACGGCAATAACACCAGACATGGCCTGAGCAAGGGTCAACAAATACACAGATTTCAGTAAGGATCATACACACTGACGACAACAGATGGTCTATAAATATAAAAAATTTGATTGAAATATCAAATTCTTCTGCAAATAATTGAATACATCTGAGCACTCTGAACTTCAGTATATTCTTCTGTAAATGAGCAGCATCGGTTGCAGTACAAAACAATCAATCTATACTTACTATTGCAGTGGGCAGCCCAGCATCCACTTTGTCCTATTGAGAGACAGAAATGTTCTCGTCATGGCAAACAAATACCAGGAATCCATCGTGATGGTGTGTTAAATTAATAACTCTGGATATGTGCAAAACTGTTCCTTACAGCAGCAGCAACTATCTGAGCGGAGATGCCCTTTAGCAGGCTGAGGCGAAGAACCGAGCCGTGAACTGCTGCGTTCTGATCCAGAGTCCTTCTCTTTCTACAGTCGGTCACGTCGTCACACAGAACAAACAGACACAGAGGAAAAATATAAATAAACTTATACCTGCAGAACTCTGAGGCTGGAAACATCAACATGAAGGGGAAAGGTTCCTTCTCCAGACATTTTTAAGTCATTTATAATTTATTAACTGCTTGGCTTTACTCAACACTGCAGTGCCTCTCCATACCTGACGACGAATCATTTTAATGTGTGTGTGTATTTTTTAAGTCTCTTATCTGCTAGGTAACTGATTAAAACGTTTTAAAAGTAGTCTCTGTTATTTTAATTATTGCATGTCTTCAAACTTCTAACTCCAAGTACCTTTTTTTATTTAATGATAGTCTTAGTTTATCGAGCAACAACTTCAGTTTATTCGTTCTCGTCACCATTTCATCCAATAAATGATGCAAATCATCAACCATACGGAAAACAGCTTCATCTGCAATGTTGCTAATGTCCAATGGTTCAAAATTAAAGAAACAAATCATTTACAAAACAAATACTATAAGATTTGATTGTTTTCTTTTTTTGAGTTTGTCTACTTACTCAGCTAGAATTCCATTATATGTTTTAGAAAACATACAGAAACGATTGTTGCTTTGTTTTTGATGATTTATTTGATGATTATTCAAAGTGAAGGTATAGCACGTTTCTGCTTCTACCTCTGGTATTTTTGGTCCACAATTTGTGTTCTTGGTATTGTTAGGAATTTAGACATTATCTATTTCTGTACTAGTTTTTTTCTTTTGTGCATTTTTTTTCTTTCATCTTGGCTTGTGTATGGATTTTTTTTTTAATTACTGAAGATAAACTTTCAATTTTATATTATTAACTTATTTATCATTTATGTATTAAATAAATATATTTACATGCCAACACTAACCCCTGTATCTTCATTAATATCCATATATTTGCAATTATGCTATATAACTTCAACAGCTTTGCCTGTTTATTTAGTAGTTTTTAACATTCAGTTTAAAAATATTTGCCTGAGGCCATAACTTTCCAAGTTTTCATTAAATCATAATTATTTCTATTGAATCAAATATCTAACTTAGATTATTCAATCAACAAGATGCAATTACATGTCTATGTGCTAAGCCAGAGGTTCCCAAACTGTGGGGCGCGCCCCCTAAGGGGGGCGCCGTGTCATTGCAGGGGGGGCGCGGGAAGCCGTCTGGATGAAAAAAAAAACAAAACATGAACATGTATGTGCTGGGTTTTTACCTTAGAATGGCCAACTCTCTGTTATTCCTATGTCAATTTGATACAGTAGGGCTTCCACACGTCCCATATTTGTGTCCTCTGTCACTTTTATCTGCAGTTAAAACTGTTTAATCCGTTAACATGTTGTAACCTGTTTTTCCGAGCCACCTTTAAACGCAACATGACCGCTGAGATGCTCGCGCTGGGTTTACACCTGTGAAGGAGACCTGCTGCTGCGTGGAGCTACGTAGGTTTGTGTTAGAATCACGGCAGCAAACCAGCAAAACGCAAAGAACTTTTCACAGTTTTTCCCTCCAAACTAACCGACTGAGTTGAGTAAAGCTGTTGGATGCAGGTAATGTTAGCTAAAAGATGACTAGCTAATGTTAGCTAAAAGATGACTAGCTAATATCAATACAGAACCTTAAGCTTAACAAGTACCTTGTTGGTGTCTATTTTCAGCTACGTACATTCATTTTGCCCCCAAAAAAGTCGATTCCCCCCCGTCACACGCGTCATTTCAACCAGACAACCATTTGTTGTAATTCATAGGGGGGCCGCAGAAAATGTTTGGAAACCACTGGGGGGGCGCAGAAGAAAAAGTTTGGGAACCACTGTGCTAAGCAATCTATTCTACTGAATGGAATAATCCCAGTAATGCGGGTAACAATGTTAAATATACCATATCTGAAAGTGGCTTCAATACTTATGTTCACCACAGGTGGTAGAAGGTTTAGAAAGTTTTCAAAGAGTGTGTGTTCTTGCCGTTTGAGGTGTGCTGGGTCTCCGCTGTCAGAGCTGGCCAAGGAGGACGTGTCGTAGGACTGAGCGTCCATGTTGTCCGTGTTTAAAAGGCAGGTGTCCTCCAGAACGAAAGGGTCCTCCTCCTCCTCCATCTGTAACACTCAAACCCAGGTCACACACAGGAAAGCTCAAATTCAACAAGTGCAAACCTGACCTTAACTCAGAAACACACAAGTTCCAAAGCTGGTGCCTCGGTATGAGAGCTCACACAACACGGCTCCTCTATTAACCCTTTAACAACGTTTTTTCCAGCATTGCACTGAGAAGTACCTTGTATAATAAGCTAAAATAGTGATGTTTGCTAAATGCTCCTGGTTAGTCTGTAGGAGCAGAGTGGAGGAGTTGCAGGGAAGGGCTGCTCTGTGAGGGGGAAACTAGGAAGCTTAGAAACTGCAGCTCAGAGGTGGAGCTGCATCTAGAAGGTGGAGCTAGATCCAACCAGGCATTTTGCACAGCTCTGTGGTTGCCACAGAGACTAAAGTTCAGACATGCATGAAAAAATCACGACAACACTCCGGGTTATGTTTTTAATGATTGAGTAACATTATAACATGATGTAGAACTCAAACAAAGTCGATTTAACATAATACTGTCCCTTTAAATGTGACTGAAAGCAGACAAAGGAAAGATTTGTAACTGACCTGACTGAGGATGCTCTCCAGTGTGGGGGGGGTGTCCACTTGGGGAATGTCAAACTCCTTATCGTCAATCTATGAAAAGATATTCAACATACAAAAACAAAAATAGGGGATCAGGAAGCAGTTTTTCTGCTGTACAGAACATACAACATAGAAATATATTGAAATATCTGATATGAAAGATGGAAGTTTTGAACTCTCCCACAGTTCCTCATGTTACAGGGTATGTATTCTATTGGGGGGTTTGTGTGATAGGCCAACACACCATCAGAATGTTGAGCGGAAGGAGAAACCACACATTTTTCTATAAATAAGAAAGGGTGTCAGTGAGCAGCAGGTTTCAGGTTTTCCATAGATTCTTAACTGGTCTGTACTTTGACTTGGCCATGCTAACACATAAACATGCTTTGATCCAAACATCCCATAATATCCCTGGCTGTTGTTCAAGGCAGCCCTCCAGCTGGAAGCTGAACCTCTACAGTCTCAGGCCTGCTTCAATTTTTAACAGGTTTTCCTCCAGGACTGTTCTAGATTTAGCTCTATCCACACCCTCTCCCACAACATGATGATGCCACCACCATGGTCCACCATGGGGATGGTGTGTTCAGGGTATGTGGTATTAATTTGTTCTAACACTACATAATTCTGTATGTGGTGTCTCACGCCAACTCTTTGCAAGTTAAATTATTTGCATTATTTGCACTTCTGGTTTGTATTTGGACCGAATTCTATCCAAACTGGACCATAAAATCGTTTAGGTCCCCGACTTTGTGCTAAACTGTTTTTCCTTCAGTAAGCAAAGTTTATGGATCCAAGAGTCCAAAGTGAGAAAGAACGACAGACGAAAGAAGGAAATATTTGTTCCAACTTTCTGCACTCACTGAAGCCACGGAGCTTCCTTATTATTTGAATATTATTATACATTCCCTATGGCTGGACTGCACAGTGGTGCAGTTTCTAGGACTGTTCAATATAATCAATACATAAAATCAACACAGGACCGGTTTATTCTTTGCTCTCTTCTATCAAACCCCATCTAGAGAGATAAATGGCATTCTTCGGGTTTTGTGTTCCTAATTAAAGTGGACAGGAAGAGGTTGCCTCACCGACTCTACTTCCATCAGGTTGAGCTGGGAAGAAGCGGATAAAAGGCTCCTGCTGTCTGGAGACTGCGACATTTCTCTGTTTACATTCACAGACGAGCATCCAGGAAGTCCTCTGTAAGTATTTTCTTCTTCTACGGCACAGGATGCTGCCGATTATGTTCGAAGTGCGCGCATGACAAACTCATTTACTGGTACATTACCGCCATCTAGTGGATTGGTCAGTGTGACACTTTTTGAGAAGTAAAAAACAGTCTTCTTTTGGGACAGCGAACCAGAACATTTTTCCATTTCATGATTAGAGAATATTCTTGAAAATTATGCTCCACTTTCATGTCCTGCAAAACTTCTTAATCTATTCTCCCTTTCAGTTCCAGACAGAAAGTCAATTTCAAAGAGGCTCAGGGTCTATGCCACACTGTGTAGCAAAACGTAACAGAGGTGGGTAGACTACCCAAAAAATTTACTTAAATAAGAGTAGCACTGCTTCAACATATTTTTACTCAAGTAAAATTAAAAAATAATCTTTCAAAAACAAAAAAATAGTAAAAACTGCTAAAAATGCGACTCAAGTACTGAGGAACTGATCAGCACATTAATTATTTAATAATTAAAAAGTACATCAGATGGCTCAAAACATAGAGCTACGTGGAAATTTTGGTATCTTAAAGGTCAAAATGAAAACAATTAATATTAAAAAATGATTACAAAATCAAGCAAAAGAAAAAAAAACAATCCAAATCAATTATTTTTAATAAAATGTATGAAACTTTATCAAGAACTGCTAACTGATCAAGTTAGCACATTTCAGCAACAAGGCAGTTCAAAGTGCTTTACCTCATAAAAACATAACAGTGTCCAGTTATGAAACATCAGTAAACATTCAAAACCTAAACCATTAAACAAGTGCACATTAAATATGTTGGTCAATGGGCCAGTTACTACTAATCAAATCATCTCTGAACAGGTGGGTTTTTAGCCTCGACTTAAAAGAACCCAAGGTTTTGGCTGTTTTGCACTTTTCTGGAAGTATGTTCCACATTTGTGGAGCATAAAAACTGAGAGGTGCTTCTTTATGTTTGGTTCTGGTTCTGGCAGTGCTGAGTAGACCAAAACCAGAAGACCTGAGTGTTCTGGAAGGTTGATGTGACAACAACAGAGTTGTCATGAGTAGCAAGGTAATCTGACACCGACTAAATGAAACTGGAACACATAAGTACTCGGAAGAGTGATTACTGGATGTGAAACAAGCCGTTTAACTGTATAGCTGAGAGGGAAACCAATGAAAAGCAAGAGATCAGTTAAAGGAACAAAACCTCGGGAAATATTAAAGATGCAGCAAACAGGAGATTACAAACAAACAGAACCTGTGTCTTATGAAGGACTCCACAACTCCAAAACTCAAATATTGACTAAAACACAAAGTTAAACTCAAATTAAGAAATAAACAAAACAAACAAACAAACAGTCAGCAAACAGGCACCAAACCTAACATCATGACAATTTTATTTTCTCTGGCTCTCATAGAGCAAAAGCATGTAGATTAGAGGAATGAATGATTCCAGTCTGGGAAAGCTGGCTGCACATAAGCCTTGACTAAAAACCTGTACTTTGTAGCATGAAGCAGCTATCACTGCATTTGTTCATTTGACACAAATAAAAAAACAAGTCAAAATAAATAAATCTCTAAGTGAGAGTATGATTTTTGTCCCATCCTTTGCCACAAATTTCTAAAAAAAAAAAGAAGAAAAGATTACACAGTCAATAAATCAGATTATTATTGAAAAGTCTATTCATGCAGGAGGTATCACTAAGTTAAACATAAAAAGCATTAATTACACCAGGATGGTTGTTTGAAAGCCTTTGTTTCTGTTAATTATGATCATTTAAGTTTATAATATTCTATCAGATCAATAAAAACTACTTTTAAAAACAGAAATGTGGGTTTTGTTAAAAAAATGGGGGTTTATAACTGATTAAAGGTTATTTTCAAAAGGTCATTTTAATCTGGAGAACGAGACTCATCGGGACTTCTAATTTATTACATACGAGTGTAGACTTATTCAATAAGTCTACAGTCAGATCTGGATTTCTGCAATAGAACATATTAATGTTTAATTCTTGTGCATCTGTATATATGTTCAAGCAACTAGTTAGAAATAACTAAGGTTGAATTTTAACTCTCTGGGAATGTTAGGAAGAAAGAAAAGTGGGATCGGAGGGGGCGAGGAAAGGAAACAAGGACGCCCCTCCGCTGGTTTGGACCGCAGCCTGCTCCATTCCTTCCAATCCGTTCACCTCCATTCACAGTAAATAGAAGCATGGAGGCTTGACTCTCGGGATCTAACGTCGAACAGCGGGGGGTAAAGACGCTGCCGCATGCGCTGTGCGTGAAACTACACCGCCAGGAGAAAACAGGAGCGCAATAAGCGCATTGTCATTTATAATTTAGTCATTTTAGGAAAAAGGAGGAGTGTATTTGGGGAGCGGAGCGGAGCATGAAGCGGATGGCCGTGGTGGCCAGGCACAATGGCCTCGTCTCTCCTTTGGGGAACAACAACTCCGGGGCTTCGAGCATCGTCTCCCCACCCCAAGCGAAAGCCACGAATGTCTCCGCCTGTATTGACACTCCAGCCGGGGGTGGGATGGACGGCCTGCTGGATTTCTCCAAAGGCCCCACCGTGAAAACCGAGCTGGTGTGCAAATGGACTGAGCGAACTTCTTCGAAGCCGAGGCTCGGGCGGACGGCGACGTCCGTCTGCGAGCAAACTTTCAGCTCCATGCCCGAGCTCGTGGACCACGTCACCAGCGAGCACGTCGCGGCGGGGCTCGAGAGCCTCAGTCATGTCTGCATGTGGGACGAGTGTCTGCGCGGCGGGAAGGCGTTCAAAGCCAAATACAAACTCATCAACCACATCCGCGTGCACACCGGGGAGAAGCCCTTCTCGTGCGCGTTTCCCAACTGCGGCAAGATGTTCGCACGCTCCGAGAACCTCAAGATCCACACGCGCACGCACACGGGTAAGCTCTGCTGCTTCTGGGTCTGTTCACGGGGTGACACCGCTGGCTGGCCGGCCGGCTGCGACGGGGCGGGGGGAGTTAAATCCGTGTCATCCGTACAGACAGCGGCTTCCTGACACACACAGACACAATGTGAGGTTAATAAAGATAGCTCTCAGTCTGCAGGGATCTCCCCCCACCCCTCCATGTCTCTAAAGGCTGAGTCCCTTTTGTGGACACCCTTCCCTCCACCGCCTCCTCGGTTCCTACTGGAGCCCCGGGTTTGAGGAGTCATGCAGGGTGAGGGATTAACACCCAGCAGGCTGCTGAGGAGGAGGTCAGATGGGGTTAAAGTGAAATCTGACTTTTAGTCTAGATGGATTTTTACTCTAAAGCTCTTTTTAGTTCTTTCTGCCTCTTTGAATTATCTGCAGTAGCTGTGTGAGCGTGGTGAATGGTCAGTCAGTGAAACACACTGGTTTAGTTGGACCATCAAGCCTAGAAACTGTCCTCTGCACAGACTTCTCTTTCTGAACCAGTGAGTTTATTACTGAGCCATAACTGTTTTTAAGAGGGAACATTATTATGACACAGAGGTGACATCATTATAATCTCTGCATGAATATAGTTGTGTTTTCCTGCCCCGGTGTGTGTGTGTGTGACCCAAAACACTATTTTAGGTTTGAAATAATTAACATAAAAATATGTAACAATTATTTTCAAATTAAGTGAGCATTAACATCATATGCAACCCGGATATTTAAAATCCCAGTGTTCAGTCAGGCTGCAGAACCAGGTGATGAATGGAGTCTGGATGTTTACCCTGAAGCAGTTCCACTGGGTTATTTTTTGTTAAATTCATCGTTAAAGCAGATAAACTGAGATGGAACTTTCTGCAGACCTGCACAGAGAGACCTTTTGAATGTAAATACTCTTTGTCATCATCAGTTGGTAACGTTGCTTTGCAGCATGATGGTTCTGGGTTCAAAACCCAGTCTTGGGTCTTTCTGCATGGAATCAACTTGTGGGGGGCGGCAGTGTTTTTTCATGAGGTCATAGAACTCAAGTAATAACAGGTCAATATTTCATGTTTAGTATGAAATATTAAATAGCTCTACAATCCAGAGCTGCAGGTTTTAGAGTCGTGATCTAGCGGATCCACTGGGATCCTGTCTCAATACGACTGAAGCTAAAAGAGCAACACCTTCACTTTGATTCATTGTTGCTGTGTTTCCTTTACAGATGTGCACAAATCTTTGTCTAAATTCCGCAAAGGTAAAAAAAAATTATAATAAAATAACAAAAAACTATTTTTCAATTCTAGTCTTTCCATTAAATAAGAAATTAAATTAAAATCACATGTGAATAAGCTTGTTCACGTGACAAATCATTAAAAGGCATACCGCAGTATCATCCTCAAACTACTTCCCGTCTTCTTCTTTGTGGTTTGCGTCAGTGGTAACATCCGGTTGTTGATCATGTGACTTGTGTAATGTGAAGAAATTGTTTCCATTGAAGTTTTGTATAATAAACCAATTTCAGTATGGCCAAAAAACCCACCTCATTTTAGAGCCGAAGCTTTTTAACAAAAAACAAGTCTTTTTTGTTTTATTTTTCAAAATTTCGAGTAAATGAATTTATTTTGGAAATCACTAATTGCACAATCATATAAACAATGAAAACAGAGCTAGTGACCATGTATTTGCGCAATTTGACATATCATGTGAACAAGCTTATTCACATGTGATTTTCATTGTGTTTAATGAAACACCACAATTGCAAAATTGTGTTTTTTCAACATTAGCGGAATATCGACAACGTTTTGCGCCCATTTCTAAGGGAAATACAGCTACTGCTAGTCAATGCTACACTGCAGACCTTTCAGTGTCTTGTTTTCCAAAAATGATCTCCGGATGTTTATTGTGTCCCAGTAATATCATGAGTAAGAAATATAAATCCAAATACATACTTGCATCTGAGATCTCAGTGAGTGTAACATTTGTTTTGCAGGCGAGAAGCCATTCCAGTGTGAGTTTTGTGAGAGGCGCTTCGCTAACAGCAGCGACAGGAAGAAGCACTCGCAGGTCCACACTGCTTCAAAGCCCTATGACTGCAAGGCTCTGGGCTGCACCAAGTCTTACACCCACCCCAGCTCCCTGCGCAAGCACATGAAGATCCACGTCAAGTCGTCGCCTACCTCTGACCACCAGGACTTGTACAGCTTTGGCCATCACCACCTCCAGCAACCTGTCCTCGAACCCCTCGACCTGAAAATGAACCACTTCACTTCGTCGCTTGCCAACAGGAGTTCTCATTTCCCACTGTTGACCACTCACCAGTTAGATCTCAGCCCTAGCAACGACGTAAGCGGTAAGGTGTTGCTGCGGAGTTCGTCTCCGGTGGCCATGCCTCTGGATCTCTCTCTGTCGGGCCTCAAGAGCCAGCTGAGCCAGAAGCAACAGAGCTCCAGAACCCCCCGCCGGAGCCAGCGCTCGGTGAACCCGGCCTTAACTCAGCTGTCAAACATTAAGGAGTGGTACGTTTGCACGAGGACTACAGCGCCACACTTTCCACTGCTTCACCCAGACCACATCAAGACAGAACGCAGCGACGAGGACGACTACATCACGTAGGGTGCGAGCGATGGTTGCTTCAGTCAGAACAAGCAGCTGTTTGCTCCTTAATCAGTGGCTCCTGGCCAAGACTTTCATCAAACATCAAGACAGTTATTGTTTCACTAAACAACCCATCTCTGAGATATGTGGACGAAAATGTGGTGTCCAAAACAATGGCAGAAAGGTCACCATGAGATTCTGAAACAAAGTTTTACAGCTAATACGGTGGTTTTGTTAAATCAAGAGTACCCAAGGATGTTGCTTCCTAGAACTATTTGAACAGGGTGTCTGAACTTTAGAACCAGTCTAAGGGCTGTGATGTGTGAAGCAGTTTCAAGGGCTAAAGCGACAGCGATGAAACAAGCCAACAGGCAGCTCGGCATGTTCAAACAGCCAACTTATGAAGTGCAGGGCTGTCAGAGCTGTCGAGGGTTTAGTATTCTTCAAATAAGCTGGTAGAGGTTTGGTTTGTTTGCTAAAATAGTTGGAACCAGATGGTCCTGCTGCCAGCTGGGATTTCTTCGACATGTTGTTAGAAGAATCGACGAGCACTTTGTTTGAAGCAAACTGAGGCCTTTAGTAACAAAGAATGAGTGGAAACCTGGTCAGAGTGTTACTGTGATCACTACAACACCGTGGCAAGTGGTTTGGCTGCAGTTTGCCTAAGAATTCAATGCATTCAGTACGAGTTCCCTTTCCTATAGTAGAAAAACGCAACATCGCCATGAGCTTGTCAGAAAAGTAAATACATCCATGGGGTGGCAAAAACCAACAAGCCAATCATAAACACCCTGATTCAATCAGCCTCACCGGCCGCTCTGCTGGATCAGCTCATTGTGAATTCATTAGGATCATTTTTTAAGGTGTGAGACTTGGAAAATACATCAGCACATCATCTTTTAACAGAATTAAAAACTTTCTTCAGCTCATGGCTTGAACAACTTGATAAGTTACAGCAAATCAGGCAGATTGAAAGAGCCGACATCCAAGGTAATGCTGCATAAGAACACAGATGTTGTTCTGTGCTAAATGTATTGTCTGTTAAAGCTGCAGTATGTAACTTTTGTTGAAACGGGCACTATGACATGACAGTATGTTCTGAGACACATAATCTATGAAATAAGTTCTTCTGCCCTCTCTCAGTGCTATCTAGATACAACCACTCAGTCAGGAGGCAGGTCTTAGTGCTGTCAAACATCCTCTTTGTGTTGCTGCTCTTTGCTCAGCTGCAGCTTCTTCCTGAAAGCAGATCTTGCTGTGAATGCTAAGGTTAGTTAGCATGGCCACAAATGATGGCAGATAAATGGTTTTTCTGTAACAGTGAGTTGTTTCTCTGGCATTAGCACATTGAGCAGCGAGTACATGAGGTTGATTGACAGCAGTTAGAGCCTCCTCCTGGCTCTGATTGGTTGCTTTTGGTCAGAGGGATGCATTTCTTCAGACAACATTAATAGCTCAGGGAAGGAGGTGGAAGATATTGACCTTTTGGCAGATTATCTGTCTCATATTATGCTGTAATGGCATAGTGGCAGTTTTAACAAATACGTAAACAAATATTTCTTTTCCTAAAAGTTGCAAACTGTTAGTGAACAACACCAAGTTATTCACCAACATGGTGTTGTATCCCACTGATTCTTCCACATGTTCAGTTTGAGTTGTTTTAAATAACTAACTTAAGCTAACCAGCTGTTAGCCTTTCACCATTAACAAGATGTATTTCCAGCAAGCTCATGGTCAAATGGCATCTTTGTAAAAAATAAAAATAAATATTTTTGACAGTACCTATACAAAACTTCACTTCAAAAAATCCAATCTTCAGGTCCTACCAGTGGCTCAGCGACCTGTGTCTGGTTACATTCCAGTTTACAGCTCAGGATTTCCAAAATGGCCACCAATCTAACACACAGGTGACTGCGTTAGATGAAGTAGAGAGGGTAATGAACTGGTTGAGAGATATTAATTATGTATATGGGGAAGTGTGATCATTCTTAATTGTGAGTGGCAAGGGGCCTATTTACTTTCTGTTACTCCAACTTAACTTCTAGCGAAATGAGTGCACTTACTTCTTTCTCCTGGAGGACGTTCACTTAGTTTTACTTGGTAGCAAAACAAAACAACAACAACAAAAAAAAATCAGATTATGAAATAAAATCGAGGAATCCCTCAATGTTGTAGAAAAAATGTAGAATCATCATTTATTTGCTGTTCAACAAAAATACCAGTGCAGACCTAACTCTGAAAATGAGTCTGCATATCAACCTGATGCGCCATCATGTTCCTGGTTGATTCACAAAAAAACATGTCCGCAAAAAATCAAAACTGAAGTAGCTAAATATAGCAGTTGGAATTAATAATAATAGCTGAAATAATTCCTAATACGCTCAGTCTAACATTTGGACTCAGAACAAACCAGATATGAAAGTTATAAAGGTTGAAAATTAAAGCATCTGGACAGAAAACTCAAAGTAATATGCCTTGGAAATAAAACCAGGTACAACAGAAGAAATAAAAGGACAAACGATGACAAACAAAAGTCGGTGTTGGGGAAGTAAACAGTGGTAAATTGACTGAAGTAAGTGGGATTCATATATAAAAACAGTCTAATTTTGGATCTCACCTTGAATCTGTGATCTATACACACATCTCAGCATCATCTAATGGTGTTGATGCAGAGTTGAGGGAGTCAAAGTTGATCCATTACTGATCAATCTTGGGAGTTAGAGCTGTAATGACCTTGGGATAAAAGCATAACTTCCTTAACAAATTGTTTCTTCATAAACCTTCTCTGTCATAAATCGCCAATCAAGCAACAACAGTATTGCAGTGAAATATTTTTAATATGTGGGAGTTGAAGATGAAAGGGATTAACTGTTGAGTTCTGAATCTGCACTGAACAACAACAAAAAAAAAAGCTAGAACATTTGTTTGGTATCTTGTCCTAATGAAACAATAACTGCCTTAAGAAAAGAAGTATCTTTCCAGTTACAGGTGATAGGGGTGTTCCTAAAGGAACAGGACAGATTCCAGTAAATGCACTAACGCAATAAATGCACAGGAGGATCTCAGCATTTTGGACCGTTTGTCCAAAGTGTCCAAAACGCTGAGATCGACGTTTGACCCTACCAATCAAACGTAGAAGAGGTTTGGAGGTGATGAATTCAGTTTTCAGAGGATGATAATCCATCTGCCCAGGAAGGCAGATCAACTCATTGTTCTTAATCCAATTTTATTCATTTAGTGGATTCAATTCCTCCTAAAAGTTAAGCTGTTAGAGGACAGTGTTCTCAATATTGAGGGATTCCATAATTTCTGTAGAAAAATATGTGCCATTAATAATAACGGTATCATTTCATGTTCTGAATTCTGTTTCACGAAGCCAAGAGATGAGCTATCCAACCTCTGGCTTTAGGTCATATCGGTAGTTTTGGATCAAGAACCCTCCAGGAATAGTAACTTCATGTTGCTCCAAAGAATAAAATGTTTCAAACGGTCAGCTTGGCATCCAGAACCAACTGGATGTGTTGATGTGACAGACTAGCACTTCCATGTATTTCCCAGACTGAACTGGAATCACGGCTCGAACCTACCAGAGTTTCTCTCTCAGTTTTCAGATGCTTTCTTGTTTTATCTGTGATGTTCCGGCTCAGTCAGATGTTCATGGGACTGGCTGTTCTTTCCCCAGTAATTTTGTTGCTAAAGTTAATTAAGTGGCTGAAACGAATGATGGGTAAATTCCAGTGAAGTGAACCTGCCATATAGAACAAGCCTTCAGATCATCAGACCACTCTCAACTCCAGTTATTGTGTGACAAAAATGAGAAAAATAGAATAAAGACAAACGATTGGACTTTAAAAAATTGAATCCTGTTGCTGACGAATTTTTTTTTTTTATATAAACATTTATTGTCTTTTTTTTCCTGTTAATGTCTTCTGTTGTCTTAAATGGCTCCTGGATTCAGCCTTTGTATGCATTTTTTTATGGTAGACTGGAGAGGTTTGTTCTGTATTTAGATGGATAGCTTCCGGAGTGACGTGGTCAGCCCTGGGCCTGATGAGGTTGCAGATGTTCTGCAGCTCTTCTTGAAAATGGACAAAGGTAACGAACATGAGTGAAACAAAGACAGTCTCTGGTGACATTTTTCTTTGTCCTTTATTATCATTCTCAGCACATTCACTTTGAAATAAATTCAAGCAGAAAACACTGAAGTTCCGAGTTTATTTCAAGGGAATAACACTGTTAACATCTTGATACATTGAAAGGTCTGTCTGGGATACTGAAGCAAGGTTCCGTGTAGAAATTATGAGCATTCAGTATCTTCCCGGCTGTGGATGGGTCTTATTAGTTTGAATATTTTGCAGCTAATGGCCAAGACAAAAGAAATGTACCGTCCTCATATCTTGAAAATATCCATTTACTATTATCTGACTTTAAATCACTGGTGTTTTTGCAGTACATATATTTATTCAGATAGAAGTCTACATTTACAAGCTGGAACTTAGTCCATAACAAGTGGAAACAAAGATTGTAGATTGAAGCAAAGGAAAACTGTCCACTAGAGATGAAAAACGAGGTAATTTCAAAATCAATGAAGTCTACACTTGTATGTGGCCAGCAACTACGTCTGGCTGTTTAGTTCTGCTCTATTTTCTTTCAGTGTATCTATTGCTTCACCAACAGATACACTGATCCTCAAAAGTGTTCACACCCTGTTAAAAAATTACGTTTTTTACCTAAAAAAAAGATACCATTATAATTCACTTAAACTTTTTCCATGTTATGTTTATTTAGTTTATTGAACACAGTCTCCTGACTTTCCTCCGTCGGCTGAGCGGGTACAGCCGATGGAGGGACGGGTTTGAACACTTCGAAGCTCAGTCCAGGAGGGGGCAGTGATGTAGGCTCTGAGAAAGCTCAGAGAAGAAGAGAAACTTGGGCAACATGGCGGTGTACAGACAGGCAGTGTTCCTGGATAGGCTGCTGTTTGCCGTGAAGGTGAGTTTTCCACTAAGTGACTGTGACAGGGTCAGGGTGGAGGCTCAGTCCGACCGGAAGTAAGCACCTAGAGAACCGCAACCAGCTGCTCCGCCACAAAGATTTAACGCTTTAATCTCCAGTAGTTGATGGCAGCGGCTGTTGTGCCCGTTACACTGATGAGCATAACATTATGACCACTGGCACCAGCTATTAACCTGGACATTTCAGTGTTGAAGCTAGTTTTACAGAGCAACCCTGCCTGTTCGAGAATAAAGCTTAGATTAAATATTTATAAATTAAATATTTATAAATTTATAAATCAGGGGGGGGGGAAGCAGAAAACCTGAACTGAGACTTGAAGACATCTTCATTTGATTCAGTGTGAACTGCGTTCTTCTGTCTGTTGAGATAATCAAGTTTTATTAATGTGCAGAAAAGCGAGTTTCAGTAGAGGATGCAGCTGATCTGGTCCACAACTGGCTGAAACAGGGGAGAATAGTATTAAACATACACAGGTCTGGTGGGAGAGAAAGTTGAACACAGCAGTTATTTTAAAATGATTTTCTGAAATGTACCAAGTTTTGTCTTGGAAAGTTAGCAGTAGCAAGCTACCGCATGATGTGTTTGAA